TGACTGGATGTGTGAAGTTCTTTGTTTCTATAGTGATTATGTTCAGTATTTCAGACCATTACAAATATACAAGTAAAGTCAAAAGAAAAAAAGAGCAAATGTAAAAAAAGTCAAATTAAATGCTTTGACAACATAGCACTAAGACTATTTCTCGTACATTTGGTAAACAGTTGGTACGGAAGCAATGTGGCATTATAACCGTTAACTCACGTGAAATATGTTTAAACGCTCTAAACGTTAAACATTAGGGATTATCCATTTAACCCATTATTTACGTATTAACATCGTTCATAATAATTAACATGTGATCAATGCCAAGGAGGTACTTAATCAGCAGGAAATACGTTATCATATTCTTGAATTGTAGTTGAATAAAAACATATACTTATCAGATAATGCGTTTACTTTATTCTGTTAATACTGAAGAAAATGAAATCTAATAATTTACTCAGTTTGCGGATTGGATAACATCGAGCAGTATGTGAAATTAGAATGATATTGTTTTAGTGAATATCATCTGATGGAAAAGATACACTATTTTCAGACATATTGTAATTTATATTTTATCAAATTATTAATTTCTATTATTTCCAAAGTTTTAACTTCAGATTATACAGTGATTATTTGCTTTATGCCACATATCATTAAATGATGGGTTTTAAAATGCAGTTCCTATGAAGGTAAGATAATATTGTCCGGCTTTTTTTATAACGAACGTTATAGAAATATTAAGAGGCTATTTGTTTTTATGAGAGGTAAAAAAAATGCAATATTCCATGAAGCGCATGAAAGGACGTCGTAAAAAGATGACGTTAGACGTTCAACAGCAAATAAAAGTAATTCAAGTTTGTAATCATTATTGCGAAGCAATGTTTAACAATTTAAGAGAAATAATGATATTTGAATCGAGAAATATGCCACTGAGAACAAAACGCAACAATTTGCTTTGACGTAAATATACAAATTTATGAAATCATTTAAATCAAAACGTACGCCAAAAAGGTTAGGCAGAGCTATGACGCGATTGCAAAAATTCGCTAAAGCCACATACATGTACTTCACTGCTATAGTTTAAAATGGAACCATAACTGGCAAAACAGTAGTACATTCCCTATCAAACCAGTATGCACTATTGATCACATGTAATGCATTAAAACATGTATTATGTGATGTACTGAATGTTTTTAGAAGTAATTATCCGCAACCTCTCTTATGATATTACTAAAACCTGAAACAATATTGTTTACACGTGTTTTCGTTGGTTCAATATTAGATAATAAATTGTACTAGTAGCTCTTAACGGGTTTTATTTATATTTCGAGGTATACTGATCATCTGCATGGTCACTTTTACTTTTACAAATAAGTGAAAAACTGATTGGAGCGTGATCATCCATTCGTTAATAGAATTAACGGTAAAGCATGATAGTAAATAATCTACCACCGATGCACCATTACGGGACACATCAGTGAATATACCTTGGTCGTCACCTAATCTGCTGTTAACAATTCTCATACACGAGGATTTGCAAACATCTAATAATCTCTGCCCGATGGCGAAACCGTTACATTTTTTGTCAAAAAGAAGTCCCAGTTACAGTTATTATCTTTTACATAATCTTGGTCGTCAAAAACGGTATTATAATTAATAATAAAATTAGGTTTTACTCCGACTCTTCTATTAAAATCGCCGTATCCATAAACATCGCCAAGGAAATTGTTATAATAAATTTCGGTTTCAAGTAAATCCAAAAAAAAAACTAAATTAATCATATTGTATGCAGGAGAGTCCTCAGTCCATAAATCAATTCCACTTATGTAAATGTCACTAGCAGTCTTGAAGTGATTATGATCGAGTCAAATACAAACCATAGAATTATGATATGTTTTCACAACATCAACACCAACTTTAATAGAGTCTTTATAGTATAACACAATCCACTGCTACATCTCTTAGTCTGCCTATGTTGAATAGTTCTATAAAAGTTGTGAAAAGCATAGACTGATGTTTAAATGTTGCTGTTTGAAGAAACCTACAACTCCTACAACTCCTACAAAAATACAATGTCAGCAGTGCTATTCACAAATTCGTTACATTCCATTTTAGCTCTAGAAAAACTATTAACATGCCAAGATAATATTTTAACTTCTCCCTCCTCAATTCCCTAGTCTTTAACAGGTTTTCCATCAATATACAACTTGTCATAACTTATTCACGCCCTTTTGCCTTCCTACTTTTCTGCTTTCATCCTTGGCAAAGTCTCTTTCTCTTTTCAACAACATCCCTCGGAAATTGTTCACTTACATAGAACGGAGTACTTTCAAGTGCCTTCTACAATGTTTGAACATACTCCTTATCTTTAAACTCTATAAATTTTGCCACTATTTTTGTACTCGTTCCCTGTTGTTTATGGCCAATTCTATGCACCCTCTGTAAAATCGTTCTGTCAACCGCTTTCTTTCTATCTTCATATCTTCAATCATGAACTCCCTAACCGTCACCTCAGAAAAGTAAAAGTAAATTGCTAATCATCGACTGTGACTTCAAATATGGCACCTCCTCTCTTAACACATCTCTCTCCTTCTCTAAAGGTAATACCTTGTCATTCAACATTCCAACTGCAAAATCAGAGCATTCTACTTTCTCTAACATCAAAGACGCTTTTGATGCTACTTTTTCTATTTTTGTCTTCTAACGCTTCCCATAACTTTAATTTAGTGTCAAAAGTGTCAACTTTCAGTTTAACATATTCAAGAGCATCTTATTTGTTGTCCTGATTACATAACCTGCCGTCTATACCCTTCAAACATTCCATGACGTCTGCCAAAGGAGGCTGTGAAGTAACATCTGACCTTACAGCTTACTGACCTCTTGATGCCATATTTGGCATGTATTTGTATGAAGAAACTTATCATTATCACTAGTTGCATTTAAATTATCTGCCACACCTTCACCAAAAAGAACACTGTTCGTTTGATTTGTCAATTCACTTATAAAAATGATATCCCTACACTAGTAACTTTCCTTCTGCTTTGTCTTTTACTTTCACTATCACAACTTCCTTTTTTTCCTTTTCTGTTTTCTCCAATATCAAAATTATCACTTTTCAAGCATATACCATATCTTTAAACTCTAAAATTTTTCCCGCTTTATTAAACGCGGCACCAGATAGCACGCATGTTTAAACGGTTTAAGGAAAATAAAGAAAAATCTATTAATAAATACTGCAAGTTTGTCTAAATAATTCCACGTTTACAGATTTTGAAGGTGATTATGACAAGTCAAATAAAACGAGTTTGATTTGTTCGGACATAACCCAGTGCTGGTATTTCATTATACACCAAATAATCTCAACCTTTTTTATCTGAAAAAGGAAAAATACTTTTAATTTTGCAATGGGAGAACCCTTGCTACTTAAAATCTATACATTCATTTTCGGGTCATAGGCGCATCATTTTGAATTCCAATTTAAGCATCTAGTAGACTTAGCATATTCAAATATCTAACTTGCCATCATCCGTGTATTTTTAAAAGGTTTTACCAATGCACTTAATAAATCTTTTCTTTGTGCTATACTCCAATTTAAACTTATTTCTGCCAGTGATTAAATGTACTCTCCCAGTTTATGGTCAATTTATGAACAGTGTCTAAAAACGATTTCTGTCAAAAACGTTGCTCGCTAACTTTTAATTTTCGCCTTATTGCACCTTATTTGTTGATGGTTTAAAAATTGGAAAGACAGAATATAATTCTCAATGAACTGTGAGAAATACGTACCTTTTCTATAACACTATATAAGTCCGGAAATTTTATCCCTATATTCTGTTAATACCTCAAAATTATTCCTTCGACCTTAAGCTCAGTACTCATATAATCTTTGGGTCCTAAGAAATGGCGCAACCAAATTAGCGCATTTTACAATTTGAAAGTATGACTTTTATAATACTGCAGGGTATTTAAGGCTATTAAAGACGTTAAAAACGGAAGGGTCATTCTATAATGTGGAAATTTAAAACCACTTGAATTCAATGAGGTAACATTTTTTACATTGAAAATAGTGTGATCTTGCCCTTTTGAGAATATTGACTTGATTGTTTGCTCTGCACAAGGTGTCATAATGGTGATCATTTCTGCCAAGTTATCTTTAAAAAAATTGAAGCTGTTTAAATGCTATGGAGCGAAAACGAAATGTAGACATTTATACAAGATATATACACATATTAATAATTTATAATTTAAAGCAGAAACGATCTGGACCGAGAGATACAATGTAAACTTTATAACACTTGACCTTTAAGTGACAATGACCTTGCGGGTAGCAATCCAAGCATTGCGATGTGCACATCGCCTTATAATGGTGATCAATTGTGCCAAGTTATTTCAAAAACTTTTCAGCGCTTTAGAAGATATGGAGCGGACACGAATGTGTTACGGACGGACATTCCAACGGAAGGACGAGCGGACAGACGGTGACCATTCCTATAATCCTCTCCCGGCTTTGAGGTAAGGGATTAAAACTATTGTGGGTAAATAAAGGTTATATAAAATCCATATTTGTAGAAATTATGTTTCGAATCTTTACAAAATGTGAGTATATGACACTAATTTTATCATGATAGTACATGACAACTTGATGCAGATTAAATACATTTAGGGTATCAAAGAATTTGAGAAATGGAATGATTTTATCGGACAGAATATAATTTCAACCTCTAAGAAATTTAAACCCTTTAGAGAGACTTTATTAGGTATCAATGTGAATTTACGAGTATAACAGCCGCTCGATTAATTTTGTAATTGTTTACAAATAATTTTCAACCAATTTAGTGTGGATCTACTTGACTGAATAATTAAAGCCGATTTAATAAAGTTACTATATGTTACGATTCATTAGAAAAACCTCAATCCTATTGGCAAAATAATATTTTCAATACTTTATTTATTTTTAAATTAATCTACTAAGTTAAGTTCACGGTCAATATCAAGGCCGCAGACCACGTGAGCGTTGATTGTTACTTTATATTTAATCAGTTAATGTATTAACTGAAAAACAAATAAGCCACTAAAAGAAGTACTATATATTTTGTGATTTTATGTTTCAAATATTAACACGGAATATTTATACGGTCAAAGTGTTTGCTGAAATATAAACACGTATAAATAGCGTTTATAGTACACACGTGACTGGAGATTTAACACTGAAAATCGCATCGATTTTGGGGTGTATATCTATTTCATTAAAGGTGAATAATGCGGAAGTATAAGGGTATGTTAAGGTAAACTTTAAAGTTTTATACATTAATCTTCGTTTTATAATATTGTACCATACAATATGCTTATTATTTGCGAACTTATAACTTTCAATAAATTCTACCAATCATTTTTCCAAGATTCCTTTTGTTTTTTAGTTATTTGTTGTCAAGTGATAGTTATTTCTGATGAAAAATATGTTTTAATTCAGTGTAATTAGAAAGTAAGTTACGTAAATATACTTGGCAAAAAGGGTTGTTTAAAGGACACCTAAAAGTGTATGATATCAAGTACATGTAGTATAATACTTTGTGCTTCTTACGACAATAAACATAGTATACATGTATATATCTGGCCAAAATGCTAGGTGCTGCTTAATATAAAGAAATTTGAGAAAATAAACGGTAAATATTTGATAAACTCATGCATGCAGACGATAAATAAAATATAATGAATATTATGTAAATGCAAACCTCGTCAATATATCAAAACTTTAAATATTTTGAGAACGTTTTTTACTTGAATACCCATCTTACTATCGATATCATTTATTATTCGAGTTAACATTATACTGTACCCTCGTAACACACTATGAATTTCGCCTTATACAATGTACATGATTATGTTTAAATCTTATATTTGCACATGTCCAGTTTCTACAAGAAACATAACCCACCACAATACGCGATATTTCAACCTAGAAATTTATTTAATCGTTTTAATTAACGTCGCAGTAAAACGTTGATTTCTTTGATGTTATACTTAAAGTACTAGAAGAGTAATTTAAAATGTTGCTATCAATTATTAAATGACTGTTGTATTTCGTTATCTCTGTTTTATTATCATGCTGTAGATAACGTTACGTCAGCTTTACATATATAATACACGATCTTGATTATCACGTGACCTTCGTTTAAATGTGATTATTGCCTTTTTATAACTATATATGAAGTGCATGTACATAAATTAGTAGAAAGAAGTTATTTGTACATTGTAAATCTTATAAAATATTTATTAAAATAATAATAATGATAGACAAATGATAAAAATAATAATAATAATCATCATCATCATCATCATCATGATAATAATAATAATAGTAATAATAATAATAATGATAATGACTACATGTATACAGCTAGGATTCGAAAACAACTCTCGAAAAGGCGTATTACCACGACGTTTCAAACCTTGATATGAAACTGAACGAACGCTATAAATCACGTGATGAACTTTCTATATCTTTGGAATCGCCTTGAAAAATATGTGTATTTTATCATTAAAATATGTTTATTCTAAATTTGATGATACGTCTTAAAATAATGTTTTCGAAGAAAGAAAAACATATCAGTTAGACAGATTAAAGTGAAATAGATCAAATTCAAATAGAACTTTAGTGTTTTTTTTTATCATCGCTTATTTATTTATCTCTATTTTAGTTATCAACAGTGCAAAATTTAATGAAAATGTATGAATGTTACCAATAAAGTAATATTTCTTTTCAGTTTTAGTTTAACTACAATATTTTTATGAATTATAAAAAAGGATGGTAGAAAAAAGATGAAAAGGTATATTTTTTTATTAGAAATACAAAAATGACAAGTTTTGTATTTGTTGGAGCTTAAGCTTAACTTTTTAAAGCAGTATCTAGGCATTATAAATATTGATGATGAAATATTTAAACATATGTTTAATGTTTTAGACAGCCACGATAATGGCGGAGGTTTTTGACCATGACAGTGGTAGATCTTCTCCTACAGCTTGTCTAACACTCGTTCTTGTTAAAGAAATGGTGAAAAACAAAGATGGCGCTGACTTTGATGACGTCATTCAGTACGTAACAGGGGCTATGTCTGTATTACAACAAAACTACAATGAGACAGAACTTGTAAATAGTATGAGGATGATACAGAGTTACATCAAGAAAGAAAATGGTGAGACGATTATTACTACTGCTAGTAATACAATCAGAATTCATTGAAATGAATCTTGCAAATTAGCTTTAAAGGCCCATTATGTCCCAAAAATCCTTTTTGTTCAATTCCTCAAAGGCGTTTAATATTTGACGATCTATTCTAGTTTCCAAAAAGTAACTCATAGACCAGTTACCTGAACCATCTTTTGCTTCTGTTGCTTCTTGGCAATTTATACAGATATATTGATATAGTATTTTGTATGCAAGTCAAAACACTGCTTCGTTTTTCATTTTGCTAGTTTTATGACATATTATTTAACAACCATCTATTATCTAAAACCATTTATAAAACTTATACTATGTATGTCCTATCAATAGCTAAAAGAGGAAAAGAATTTGTTTCTGAGGCATAATGTGCTTATGGAATTGGTCCTGATGTTCGCCTTGTAGCATAATTTTCATTTTCGATATTCCATGTTTTAGATTGTAACTAGAACAGCAATCCGAGTCAGTTTTATTCCATTGGAAGGTTACCTTTATCTTGCCCATGCAGTCGTGTGGCTTGTCATTTAGAAATATCTATAGGGCACGGATGTCCCCACAATTCAACTGTTTTATCACACAAACTGTCTGTAGCATTACTGGTAGATTCACAAACACGAAAGTTTCATGGCCTTTGGAAGTTACTCTCGACACAAACCAGTCTGCTAACGAACAGCTTGGCGTTCGGATGGACAAGGGCAAATTATCCACTTGTAAAATAGTTCCACGTATGTAGTGAATACGTGTGCATTTCAGGTTGATCACATGTATACAACGTACTTCATTGCACCTATTTCTCGAAATATTTCGTACGACAATCTTGTGTTGGACAGCGTAATTTGAGAATTTTAATGGACAAGATAATACTGCACTAGATTTACGTTTAGCACATGAGTGTTACGTGAGGACATGCATTTATCGGACATGTTTTCTATTAACGTTTGATAATGAGCTGTCGTGCACTTTGGAAAATATCATGATGATATCACACAAGTGATAACAAATTAACTGATAACATTCATGATTGCCTTTGATATAAGTTTAGAAATTAAAACAAAGATAAAAAGAGATTGTACAGTGATATATGCTAGTTCTTGATAAAAGTTATATATTGTATTTATTATGGACAACTTCCTGTTGTGACAGCCGAGCCACCCTCATTGACGATACTACATAGTTAATCTTCACAGCCGCGATACATTTCTGTTAAACAGATTAATATCATAACAGTTCATAATATCTTTTAATACTGACTTTTCCCAACAACAAGTATAACATCAGTTTAAGTTAGGTATGTTTTATCATTCAGGAAGAAGACCTTCTAAAGAATAGATCGAGTTCGCTATTTTTATCGGTATATGTTTACATTAATATTAACATACAGGTGTGGCGATATGTCATATATAGCGCCAGGATGTAGTTCATTGTGAATTTTATACACATAAAAAAATAAAAGAACATCTAATTTCAGACATATTCGCATTCAACATAGTTAAAGTCAACACAGCCTATAACGTAGGTGCTTATTGACCAAATAAATATCAATGGCAGAAAAAAAAGATATTTATAAAGTGTCAAAAATGTTAATGTGGCTCACGAATTTTAGAGTTCCGGATTTGAAAAGTACTACTCAAGCCTTAAAAATATCACATTCAATTTGGCTTAAACCTATTTAAGTTTTATTTTCATATGTTGAAAACAATTAATTGATTGAAATGAAATAATTTCATAATAATAAGTTTATAAAAAAGAAAATGAATACCCTCGTAACAAACTATCAAAATATTCGGGATGTAAAAATCATAGTAAAGCAGTGTGCGCAATACTGAGAGTTTTAACCGTGCTCATAACAACGTATTAAATTGCAAAATGTAATGATTCAATAGATTGCACAACCCATACGATAACGGTAACACCGAATAATGTAAACGACTTAAAGAACTATCTTTTATATAAATTACAGTTAATGTTCTAAAGTTTTTGGAAAGCAGTGAAATACTTGAACGTGTAATAACGATTCTCAAACATCTACCAGATTCTATAGAAATACAACAGGTTCGTATATTTGAAAACGATCTTTTATAATTTGTCTCTATTGTATGGTGGCTGATTTATGTCATTCGTGTTTCGCCCCGCGACCCCACCAAGTGAAATGTCGAGAATTAACAAGTTAAAATGTTTAAATTCGCTCCGCGCCCCCGCTAATCAGCGTGTTTTCACTCCGTGCCCCTCCCATTTCAACTTTTTTATTCTCGACTCTTCGCTTGGCGGGGTCGCGGGGCACAAATCAGCCTCCATACTCTTGCGAAATAAAATGACATGTTTATATTTCAAGAAAAATGTGTCATGTTTTATTAATATATATTTGTATGTCAATTTAATTTATAATATTTTAAAATTGAAAACTGTGTTCAAAACATCTAAAATAAACAAAAAGCTTTCCCTGATCATATTAGAAAGTAAAATCAGTTCAATCTTTCAGAAGTGGGAAAGTAAAACATTATACGTAACATGAGAATGTTGAATTAGGCTTATGCAGATGTTTATTTTGTATACTATAATACATGTATGAATAACAGAAAAAGTTATGCATTGTTTACCAGAGTATCGTACGAATGAGCTAACAATGACATAAATGATAACAAATTCTTTCCTACGTTCTTTTCTAGGCCGGATTTACTTTACTGTTACATATATGTGAAAATTGTCCAGAACTTCTGCTTGCATTGAGTACGAATGGATTTCACACGTAAGTTGAGTTATTTCCCTTTGCATGTACATACTCCCGCGAGGCTTATTTGTGTATTACAGACGCTCGTTAAAGTGTATATTCAAATTATAATAAAATTCATGAAAATAAGTAAATGATGTTCCTCATAAATGACACGTTATTTATATCAGGAATACAACCTAATTCTTAAATAAACATGATTGCCACCGAATCAATATTTAATCACTTTATCGTGCTTTATTTGTTCTATGACTTTTTAATCTTTGTATTGCTAGTTTTCTGCTAGAACAACTGAAACACCATAAAACATATAAAGAACTTCAGCAATATGGTATTCGTATACTTGCCAACCTGTTATCATTAGGTAAGTTATATTGTAGATGAGGCATATCGTAGTGTCATGTTCGCCCTTAACGTTGCTTAAAGGCCCATTATGCCTAACAGATATCATTTTAATTTCTCAAAAACATTTTATTTTTGGCATCTTGTTACAGTTTCAAAAATACTCATTCATATAGATGAACAATCTTAATTTTTATGCTCTGTCGGCAATTGGTATACTAACATTGAATAAGTATTTTGTAAAGAAGTCCAAATTCTACTTTGTTTACATTTTGCTACCTTTACAAAACATTACTGCATATTCAGCGATACTTTCTTAAGTTATTAAACATCTAACATGCTCTAAATTCAGTATAATAACTTTATTAAGCATGTGTTGAACTTTCCTAAAGAATAAAACATGGATTTCTGAGGCATAATGTGCCTTTAATTCATACAAGTAGCGGAAATTCAGTATTACATTATTAGAATACTATCATGCGTATTTCATTGAAGGATTCTACATTCTAATCCAATATTTGAGAACTTGTTCAGAATGCCCGGATGTTCAGATCTGTCCTGAACTGGACTGGAGTTATTTTCTGCTAATCATCAAAAACATTGTTAACTTATGAGAAAATTAAATATCAAACAATAGAGATTTTAAATATGACAGTCAAGTCATGTGTGCCCTATTAGCTACCAGTTAATATTTAAATATTTATGAATACCATAGAGTGATTACACTTCATCAAAATTCAAATCGACCAGCCATAGTTGAAAATTACATGTTTTGAAAAAAAAACTTACTTTGAACTGTTTTTTTGTACAACTTTAAGAGGGATTAAAACAATTTGTTGAATGGAAGGTCTTCACTTTTGTGTAATAATAATCTCGAAATTGATTTAATTTCACCGATGCCCATCGTGAAGCATTATCTCCCCTGAAAGTATGCTTCTAATTTAATCGTGTATAATCAAGTGTCATTATTTATAAGAAACAAAGAATACACGTTTAAGTGACATTATACTAATATTAATATGAAAGATATTTCAAAAGATTGACTTTTTATAATGTTGACTTTTTTAAGTCAATACAAGTGTAGAAAATATAATATGCCGATAATTGTAATTATTCCTGCCGGTTGTTAAAGATAATTTTTTTAACTTTCACTAATAATAATATATTTGTTCCAATTATTTACTTGAAACTGTAGCACTGTCAATACCAAGGTTTGATAACATAATATTTATAATGATATGATATAAAAATCATGACATTGAAATATTCATGGATCACGAACTGACTTAAGTTTCAGAAACGTGCTCTGAATTCATTCTCCATTTTATAACACATGGCTATTGTGTAGTGCATTCAATTTATCATAGTTTATGTGTATGATTGGAGTAAAACATTTATAGAGCCAAAGTATGTAGAATAAACTTATTTATTTTTATTCTATTCGCTGTACTTAACTGTATTGTGTCACCACTAAACAAATTATTGGTATTCCAGTGACATATACTAAGCAGCAATGAGCAGTAAATCTGTAACTGATTCAAAGTTTATAACAAATGTAAATGTGATTTAATAAATCGACTGTGTTATAATTGCTTTATTAACAAAATAAAACTTATAACAAAATAAATTGCTATTTATAGAAAAATTCAGAGACCAGCTTTTATTGGACAAACAAGAAGAGGAAGTTGCTCACGTGATCTGTGTAGCTGTTCAGTCATTTCCGGAAGTACGTGATATACAAATTGCGGCTTCCCGTGCGATTGACTTTTTTCTTACTGATAATGGTAAGGAATTACATATTTGACCGCCAGCGATATAATATCATAAACGTAATGAGATATATCTTTCATAGAAAATTTCGGCGTCAATTCAGTGCATTGATTTGGAAACCTGATAAAAGCAGGTGCTTTTCCAGAATAAAATTCAGAATTATGAGACCTCTTGTTACTTTCATTGAAAGAATTCAAAGATACGAGGAATACGTCTACGAGGAATACGTCTGCATAATATTTGCAGACTAAAGTGATAATTTGAAGATAATTTTTATTTTTGATTAAACGGACTGTATATATTTAAATTTTTCATTATTTATTTTGTTTTGACGATTTATTTCAAAGCTACGTTATTATCTTTATAGCATCATTATAGCAACTTTTAGACGCTTCAACCCAAAATTATGTCTTGTCCTTTAATTTTCCTAACTGCTGTTGTTTTGACTAATGTTAAACTTCCTTATTCTGCTGAAAGTTTTGTAATTGACTATTCCTCATTTAAAAGTCTAGGACAAAAACGATTTCTGTACAATTACGCCGAAAAATAGACACACATAAGTTAAAATTTCAACTTGATTTCAATATCCCGACAATTTGTTAGTTATGCCTATTTGACCATTCTATTGTCAACATTTATGGCAAATTTATGAAACCATAATGAAACATATCGTACCAAAATTTATTAAGTATTTAGATTTTAACAAATTTGACATAAACATCACCCACTGAAATATACCTGAGATTAAGCCTACACAAACAGGAACCTATCCTCAATATACTGTGTGCCTGGCGAACCAGTTAAACTGGTCTTTGTTATTTAAGCACAATATTGGCGCTGCGGTATTTTAACTGTATTTTGACAAAAATAATCGGAAGATATATTCTGTTTAACAGTAACATTACATTATTACTCAAATACTATATATATATTGTATATTTATGTTGTATATGTCCATTTTTTTCCTGACGTAGATGAAGACACAGAATTGAGAACATATTTTGTTGATCATGTATGTGACAGTCTGGTAGACGCCCTCCATACAGAAACTGATACATCTACACAAATTCGTATACTCAGCTGTCTCTGTGGCACAGACGGTCAGTGCTTTAAAATATATCAGCCGCGAAATGAAAAAACCAACGTAATACGTTTGCGACCAGCATGGATCCAGACCAGCCTTCGCATCCGCGCAGTCTGATCAGGATCCATGCTGTTCGCTTACAAACCCTGTAGCAAGTAGAGAAACTGATAGCGAACAGCATGGATCCTGGTCAGACTGTGCGAACGCACAGGCTGGTTTGGATCCATGCTGGTCGCAAACGTATTACGTTGGTTTTGTCATTGCGCGGCTCAATTACGTACTTCTTAATACTTTTGTTCAATGTTAACTCCATTTGCTGCTGTGAAATTTGCAACATATTAAGTTATTGAAATAAACGTGTTTAAATACTTAGTCACAACATGTTAAGATAAAGAAATACGAATAAGTATGTTTGCTTAGTTAAAAATAAAGTTTCAATGAAGGAATGACAAAAAGTTTTAAATAAATATATGGCGTTATCTTTAACTGCTTCAGTTCACTATGATACAGGTCTAGCAGTATGTTGCACGTGTGAACAATTACAATATTTTAATTCATATACACGTACTTCCAATCTTTTCAATTGTAACAAGATGATGTTGCAATAGCTTATGCAAGTTTTGTTTTTGTTTGGTTTTACGGCGGACCAACACATTTCAGGTCATATGGCGCTTATGCAAGTTATTAGTAATCATATGATTTTCTTTATACAATAAAAGCCACTATATGTTAAAACACACATCAATAGAAACAAAAACTCACATTATAGGCGAATTTTAGTTCAGACAGCAAATTTAAACTGTTGATAACTAAAATTACTGTATTTGTTGTTTTTTTATCATTTTTACAGACAAACAGAAGATGTCTCTGGTACAGAGAGATGTACATATCACCTTGATGGAAATTTGCTCGAAACATCCTACAAACAAATCTCTCATCTCTGAAGCGACTACATTGCTATCTTTACTTACTACAGATGGTTTGTCTACATTCTCTATTATATTTAACAATCAAACGATTTCTCAAAGAAAATTTGGAAGTGTTTTATACTGAAATGGTTAAAACATGAGTCAATTCGTATTCGATTGTATCTAAGCCTTCAATGTCTGAAACTCAGGTAATAATACTGTAACTCTGTATCTGCTTAGTATTATACATATGTTTTCTTTTTCGATTGAAGTGCTCAATCTGTGATTTTTTATATGTGAATAAGAAATTTTTCATTAGGCAACATATATATTTTATTATACATATAACACCCAATTCTCACTTTCTATATCCATTCATTATATAACTTCCTGATGATTTACAGATACCGTTAAATCAATCATGTCGACAAACAGCTTTATTCAGAACAGTCTGTTTGGTATAATGGATACACTTAGATTGTCAGAAAAAGTTCAGAGAGCTGGGCTTAAAATGATGGAAATATTAAGTAAGTAGTAATAATTTAACAGTCATCATTACAATTTTGTCTTTGCTGTCTTAATTTTATTAATTTTGTTAATATTGACAAAGGAAGACGTTCAAATTTCAGCATCATAGTTAAACAAAGGAAGTTAATATCCTCTTGCAGAAACATAAATTCATGTGTGTGTGGTATAAGATTTAGTGCCATCTCCCCCGAGGCAACATTGCACTTTTGTTTTTAATACTTGTTGTTCAGCAATTTCTATGAACGCTAAGTATGTTTCAGATTCCGACTTTTGGACTTTAATTATTCTCAATTATTATTATTTTTACAAATTATTTTCAAGACCAAGAAAAAATAACTTGCAAGAAAAATTAAACAGAAAAAATATCACAATTGTCTAAGCAAACTGATTGCTCTTTTGATTTTGTATTATGTGCATGGATGATGACATATTGTATCCACGGTGTTCCGCTCGGAAAATTGCGACTTTTTTTACCCTAAACCTGCAATGTACAATTGTCGACGAAGCGATGATGTAAACACTTTGATACGATGGGGCAATGGTGAAAAAGCAATTTAATATATGTTTCCATTATCATATCACTTTTATTTCATATGTATAAAAATGCTATGTTACAATCGTACCGATGGGATTCATCGTTGCGCCTTTGTTTGCTCACCAAAGTATCACATCGAACCAATGCGATATCATCATCGTACGGTCACATTATCACCATGGCATTTCTTCTTATTGTTATAGTACAAACGCATTTTCAAAATCGTGTAATGTTTGCATCGTGCACTGCGGTTTAGGGTAAACTATAATGTCATGGTTACCAAACAGAACACCGTATATATCCAATCATATATCGGTAGCAATAACAATATCTTGATAACATGTAATGCCGAACCTAATCACGAATGTCCCGATTTTAACTATATGTAGAATTGAGAATATCTTTTTCTTATGCCACTGACTGGCAAAATATTACAAATAATTTGTTTGATATAGAGTTGTAATGAAAAACAAACAAAAAAACAATATAAAGATTGTTCATTTAAATATGTCTACAGCTGATACAACTATGCCTGTAAGATACTTTTCTATTCAGTGCCAAGTATACTGGAGAACAAAGCCAAGGCAGACGAAGTTTCTCACACGGTTGTTAAATTCATATACAATGCAATGTTTACTCATATAGAATACAATTTTGTTCAGGTAAAGTCAATTGTTCAATAAGTTTTACATTAAGATTCAAAACATGCATTGATTGTTTATAAGTAATGTCTCTAGCAGGCAAATACATGATGATACTAGAATGTTTACAATTAAAGTCAATGTTCCGGTAATTTACACGAACATTCAAATTTAGTTTATACTAAACTTGCAGATAAAGCCTGAAAATCTGTTAAAATTTTGGAAACAAGGAAACAGCAGCATGTCTTTTTACCGTACACAGGTTGCTGGATGCCGTACTCTTTCCGTTCTCCTAGAAAACCGACCAGAGGCACATAAATGGATTGGTGAACACTCAGAAGAAAGACAGTAAAGTTGTTTTAAAACGTTTATTTTCAATCTTTCAAGTATTTATGATATAAAGTAATGATTTGAGCAAAACGACAAATGTAAGTATGTTTGAAATAGTAGCTCAACAGCTCTTATAATTGATGTTTAGAAATAAAATAGACTATCGAAAAACCTAGTATGTATATATTCTGAAGGAAAGGAAAGTAAATTCATAAGATTAAACCTCCCATGTTATGAAATAAATCCCGTTGATTGTTTCTCTCTAGACAAGCAGAATAAACATTTAAACGATGGCTAGTACTTGGTGTTTAGCAATCAATAATTTTTTATTTATTTTGTTTTAGATACCCTGTTCACACATTATGTTTCGGTGCTTTGTTTTCATTTGGTAAAGACGTTGAGATATTTGTATCAGTTTGTGAAGCCATTTTCTGGATAGCAGCAGATAATGGTGTGTATTTGTACCACAGTAACCTCTTGATAAACGACATGCAGCAAAAACAAAGCTTTTTTAGGTCTTGGACGTAACTTTTTTTAAAAGTGAAAAGTTTTATTAATGAACCTTTAAATCACCAGAATCCGTACTTCCATAACGTGTCTTAAAGTCATGTAACATTAGCAAGAAGTTCGCAAAACAGAAAAACCAGTAGGTAACAAAAACTGCAAAAAAAAGTATTTAAATGTTTTAAATTTTGTGAGCATATGATGGGTTGATATGTTTTTACAGAGCGTCTTTGCACAGCATTGATGAACAGAAATGTGCACGTGCCAATCATAGACGGTTTATCTCGTCACCGCAAGAAACCGAAGGCCATTGAAAATGGCTGTCGAGCGTTACGTGGACTTTGTATATTCCTGTAAGAAGATTTATTATTTTCATCAAAATCATTTTTGCAGTCACAGCAGACCATACGGTTATTTATTTGCATTATTTCATTTATTTGAAATACAACAGATTTATATCAAAGGCAGCTGTGCATCAAGATGTAAATTAAGAATTGGAGATTCCAATGTTTTTAAGCAAAAGAATGGTTAGTCAGAATTTGACATGTCCTAGATATTTTCATGTTACGATAGATTTAATTATATTTCGATGTTTTACTTTCTCTACAAATTTAGCATCTCACGACGTATTACGGTTGTAGTGGCCGTTTCACTGGAACCACCACGACACATTAATGTCTGATGAAATGTATATAAAATCAAATACAGTCAGTTGATCTATTGCTTTAGTTTGAACTTTATTTCAGATATAATCATAAGGAGACTCTAGTCAAATATGACGCCTTCTCTGTACTCGTCAGGCTGCAGGAACGCTACAAGAGTGACGTCATTGTCGAGATTGAGGTCATCAGCGCCATAGCTTGCTTAGCTGATGTTGGTAAGATATCAAACAGTTACTAAATTAGGACTATGTATGATAGAAAAGGGGATTTTCTATACATGTATTTAGGAAAGATAAACGGACATATTTTATGTTTGGTTTCAAGTCAAATAATCATAATCACAGTAGTGGAACATTTCCGTACCTCCTGTTACTGCAATAAAGGTACAATTAAACATTTACTTTATTTGTCATCCAATGAAAACGCTGTATTTCTTCAAAATAGTGTGTGTTAATTTTCATAGAAAAACAAAAGTCGATACTATAATGAATTCCGTTCATAGTCGCCTTCTATTTTTCATACTTACTTCATAGAACCGCGTAGTGACGTTATTAAGTGAATAATACTGAGGCCAAATAAAGCTTGACACCAAGTATGTTAGTATTCATCCGTAGCTGTTCTACAGAAATTAGAAACATTCTCCTGTTGCTATCGCTCCCGTCGAAGTTTTCAACTCGTCAACTTGCACCATTATAGTAAAAGTCACATGGTACTGGAGAAGAACCACCGACGTTTCGTTAGCTAGCGGTATAGTTTCCTCACACGAATCCCGAGTGGCATTCGAACCCAAAGCGTTGATGCCTTCAAGTTGAAGATCGCAGACGCTTGTCCACGGACCGCCCATAATATAAAACATAAACCTTTGAGAGGGACCATTTTTACATTGTGTTTTATAATTTACAGATGTAGTACGATACCAGTGCTTTGTTGAAAATATTCCACAAAAGGTGATACAATGTATGTACGAATTCGCAGACGACATGACGATACAAGAAATTGGACTCGAGACATTTGCAGTGTTGGCAGGGGCAGGTAATTGAAACAATTGCAAAACCAAAACTAAATTAGAATGAAAATCAGCCACTGACATAGTAAAATGTAGTATTGAAAGTTGTTTCTGCAAGATTTCTAAAACACAAACTTACTGAAGCCTATTAATGTAAGATATCAAACTATATACTATACAACGTGTTGTTGGCCATAAAACAAAGGGTTTCTTTTGTAAATAAGTAATATAGTGATAACCCTTAAGTATAACTTAATAGGTGCTATGCATGTTTGTCGTTGTTTTTACTTATTCATATATTTATTTGATATTTATTTATTTTAAATGCATTTTCTTTCTATTGTTTCTCGTTCTTCTACAATCCTTCATATCTGCAGGAAAGTTCTATACACCCTGTACTGTATCGTAACAATATCATACGATTCAGTAATAAATGAGCCGCGTCATGACAAAACCAACAAAGTGCGTTTGCGACCAGCATGGATCCAGACCAGCCTGCGCATCTGCGCAGTCTGATCAGGATCAATACTGTTCGCTTACCAATTCTATTACAAGTAGAGAAACTGATAGCGAACAGCATGGATCCTGATCAGACTGCGCGGATGCGCAGGCTGGTCTGGATACATGCTGGTCGCAAACGCACTATGTTGATTTTGTCGTGACGCGGCTCAAATTGTCTTTACAAAACAAATGTAATTTTACTAAACACTGTTGTGCGTGTTAATAAATTATTTTAATATGACTTATCATTTTTTTTTCATATACTAAGATTGTTAAGTTGATGGTTTACACGACCCCCGAATATTTTGAACACCGGACATAACTATGATTAAATACTTATTTTTTCTTTAATGCGTTTTAGAGGGCGGTCCGGACATATTACTTAATGCTGGTGCACTTGATGTTGTTTTAGAAACAATGGGAGGTTCTCCGGATAATGTTTGTAAGTTGTATCTCGTTTACTTAAACGTTCAATTATCATTTTTGCTTTATGATTAATTTAGACATAATTATAATCTATTGTAATACATTTCTCAAACGTGCGCAAAGACGATTAGACAAAATTATACGTCAAGTGCTGATATTCAAGTCATATGACCTCCTAGTCAGCCCGAACATTTAACGAACCTCATTCTGTTAAATGGTTTTTGGCATACTTATCGGTCACTTTATAACCAGTTGTATATTTACACTGATTATATCAAAGGAATCGAGCTTTCTGTAAGCTTTCTGTAAAATATGTTGTTTATACTCGTACAATTTCACTATTTATATATAATTAATTAAACTTAATTCATTTGTATATAAGGTCTACTCTATTGTATGCATTGTATTTTAGAGAACATATGAAATTTATGTTTTGTTTTATACATTTGAGCATGCATATTTCTAAACTTCGTCTTTATTGGAGAAAATTATTTTTCACGATTAATTTCTGTAAATTTAAACATGAATATGCAATGTTTATAACACAATTTACGTACAGTCACAATAAGTTAATTAATTTAAGATGTTATTTCGTGTTATACTTAATTTGATGTATATATTCAGTAATTATAAAGAAAGGGCTTATAGTGATACAGCTGTTAGCAAGCCCACCTGTTGTCCAGAAGGAGGAGACGAGAGCAACCATTGTCACGATCTTAAAATCTGCACTCACAAATTTCACAGACGTGAAGGGCGTTCAGTCAGAGGTAAGATTTATTGATAAAAAGTGTACGTATCTTTTATGTAGTCAGCAATTTGTGGTTTTATTTTCTCCTCCTTCAGATTTTATTTCTTATGTAAACGTAATTAATGCCAAATTGTTTCGCTGATTAACTTATCAAGCAAAAAGAATATACTATAATTGCATTCGTTTTTTCTTCTTCATCATTTGTAATTTGTATAACAACTGTTTGTCATATTGTCTATATTTTCTTATCGTCTGCTTTTTTATGTGACTGAACTTATCATTTTATGTAATCATAGTCGACATTTAATGTACTGTATGTGTCTGACAAGAGTTGATAGTCATCTTGACATGCATATTTTGAAATACCCACCCAGGAGAACAATGTTTTTCTTGATTGAACTAGGCATGTGTTGCACTACAATTACTAGCGGAAGTAGATGCCAACATGAGTCGAGCGTTTGTAGATGCAGACTGTCACGAATGTTTGTTCAAAATTCTAGAAGATGACAATGCAACAGGTAGACGGTTTGTCTCTTAAGAATTTTGTAATTAGAGGTTTTGATTATCCAAGTTATTTCTAATTATCTTGATATGATAAATGACTTGTTAACAAGAAGTACTTTTCTGTAATAAATGTATGACATATACCATTTTCTAAGAATATGAAGATAAGTATTTTGCAGTTAAAGACCTATCTTCAGCACTAATTAATTATCATAGATACCTTTCTAATCTTGAGTGGGGTTATAAGTAAAGATTTTTTAAACGCCAACAATATTAAATGTATATGACATATGATCGTAACATATAATTTTCCTAATACCGGATTATAGTATTATACAACATTACAATAAATAAATAATCAATGTTTAAAGGCTGAAAAACTTGTGATTATATGTATCTCTGATACAGTGCAACCTTTGCAGAATGGTCCTATGTAGGACAATTACTTTTTTCCGAAAAAGTAAGATTTCGCGCATTAATCGAAAAAACCGCTGCTCAACAACAACCCAAATCACTGTCGCTCAAATGACGTGTTGCTCTGTATAGGTTGTACTGCGCTGTAATAATTATTTTTGTGTCATAAAACATTGTCACTTACATTAGAATGATTAAAACATATAACGTTATTGTGAGATATATGTATATATTTTTCTCCTTGTATTAGTATACTCAAGTTAAGCAATAAATATCTATATTTATTGTTAGATATAACAACGAGATAAGCAATAACTTGTATATGTATTGTAAGGCATACACGAGTTAAAGTAAATGCTTATTTGTATTTTTAGGTATACACGAGTTAAGCAGTGAATGTTTATTTGTATTGAGTCAAGAACAGAATCTAAAATCTGTCATGTTGCTGTCAGCTTGTAGAAGTGGAATATTGCCGGTAATTGTTAACATTGTTTCTAGTATCTTTGCTCAGTTGTATAAACATTTGTGTATCTATTCTTTACAGTTTAAAGTACTATTCTGGTTTAGAAAGAAAAAAGAAAAAAATATGAAACTAGAGCGTTTTGTTAATTAGTTATAAAATGCAATTTATTAGATTACAAATTATTTACACTTATGTTTCTTTTTTTTAATGGAAAATCGTTTTCTTTTAACTACGTAAAAAGTAACCGTAAACTTATGTGGACTATTGTTTTTTTTTAAAGAAATTTAGGATTAATATCGTTTTTAGAACTTCACTTCATGCATGCTATAAAATGGTTTGATTGTGATTGTAAAGAATGCAGGGAAACCTTTCAGTGTTGTCATAGAGAAGAATGACTCTTGTAAAAGCACTGACTTTACTAGTTTTATTTCTGGAAGCATTTTTTTGTAATTTTGATTTCTATGATTACAGGCCACAGAGTGTCTTATAGAGCTTGGTGCAGACGTCAACATTGGAGAGGATGAAAACACGCCATTATTTCTCGCGGTTGCTGGATTGCACGAACATCTCGTGAGCTTATTGCTTAAACAAGACATTCAAGATCTCAGAACACCGCTCGTGCAAAGTTTGAAACAAAAGAGCCATACAATATCTGGACTTATACTACAGTATTTAGGCTTCGATAGAGATGGTATGATTTTAATTGTTAAAAGATTTAAACCTTTACACGATGAATTTGTCTAATACATTTGACCTGTTTGGAACATACAATTGGAAAATAAAAAAGATTTCAATATCAAGATACAGAACTTTAACTTCCAATTGTATAGAGCCTGGTCAGACTAAATATATAAGCAGACTAGCCCAGTTCTATACTGGTGGCAAAGGCTAATCAACATATGAAGGGTTAAAGGTTCACACTATGTTTTGTTTTGTTTTCACATTTCGGCAATTTGTGTTCAGAAACAAATAATAAGTGTAACACCGCCGTATGCTTTTACCGTATGCAACACAAGTATGTAGTTAATATTAAAGAACATACATGCACATTTAATAGTAGGTAGTCAAATATTAAAGGGTATTATTAAATGTAGTTATAGTGATACGCAGCCAAATACATGTATCATTAATCAAAGTGCCCGGTTCTTTAAATATAATGTTTACACTATTGCTTCTTATCATGTTAATCTTAGGTCAAATTGAATTTATTTGTATTCAAGCCAAGCTATAATCTAGTAATAATATATATGTACACGTTCTTCTGCAACATATATTTTATTTGGTGTTTATTGGAAGATAAAAGTCTGCCATGTTATAAGTTAATGATAATTGTGCAAAATTATAGACAAAAAAAAAGAGTATTAAATCTTAGTAATGAAGTTTATTAAGTTTTAGTATTTTAAAATAAAAAAATGAATAGAATAAAGCTTTTAATATACTAAATATGTATATACAGTGGATACTTTTGACGAATTATGTATGTATAGGTGGTGTCATATGCTGGAATGGTTTAGAATTAGACAGCCTCGAAGAAAAATGGATTCTTACTACACTGGCAAATCAGCTCTCCTTTGCACAGGATACAGGTAACTGAATAATTATTAACATTAACTGTCATTGCTCAATTTATAACCATATTGATATCTTAAATATAATTGTAGTCGCCCGCCGAAGACGTTGTCCGCCGGATGTACGTCCTTCAGTCGTATATCTTTGTTTCATTTAGCTTTAGGAACAATAAATAACAACAAATTTCTTTGATTCTGTTTACACTGAAACCGACGGTTAAATCTGGTTTCCTTCTTTTTTCAACAATTATTCTAAACGGAACCATTATATGTTGTTTGCTCCACAGGGGGAAGACGCTGTGATCTGACATTATCCCAGGCCCCCTCCCCCCGAAGGCCCTGCTACAACCCATTAAAAATATCAATGCAAGTTGATTTGCACAATAAAAATTCATAAAAACAATATTCTGACACGTTTCGACGATTTTCATTATACCCCTATACTATAATATTATGTTATAACAAGGGTACCGTCTTCTGTGCGCTTCCAGCGCTTTGATACTGCCCAAGTTCATATCTATCGTCGAAACTCAGCCAAAACTCAATATAATTTTAAACACATGGTCTCAATCAACGCAGCATTGATAAATGTATGTAATAACAACAGTCAATTTTGGAAATGTTGGCAACTTATTTTGATACAACTCCCGAAATTGCCGGTGACTTGAAATCTGACAAGATCTGAATCACGTAAACATTGAAATGTTCACGGCTGAATTGCATCAGAAACGCTAAGATGCGTAGAAAATTTAATTGCATCTGTTAAAACAAAATATTTAGTAAACATTACCACAAAAATACACTCCGAATATATTTCCTATCGTGGCGTAACGATCAAAGTATAACCCGATATTCCCGTCTCTCATGCCTCCATTACACAAACTTGACCCGGAAACGGTAATGCACAACTCTGTATGGTTCTCGTCCTCGCTTATACGACGGCGTACGATTTGGTACCAGTACTTTGTAAACATAAACACGTGTAAATATAGCGCCAATTTCGAAAGTTTGTCTAGAACTGTTTTCGCACATTTTCTGTCGATATAGTACAGAAATCACAAAATGTCAATAGTTTCCTGGTTAACATATTAATAAAACACTGTATTTGTACACGGGAGCTGCCAATATTTTATACACGTGTTTATGTTTACAAAGTACTGGTACCGAATCGTACGCTGTCGTATAAGCGAGGACGAGAACCATACAGAGTTGTGCATTACCGTTTCCGGGTCAAGTTTGTGTAATGGAGGCATGAGAAAAGACGGGAATATCGGATTATACTTTGATCGTTACGCCACGATAGGAAATATATTCGGAGTGTATTTTTGTGGTAATGTTTATTAAATATTTTGTTTTAACAGATGCAATTAAATTTTCTACGCATCTTAGCGTTTCTGATGCAATTCAGTCGTGAACATTTCAATGTTTACGTGAATCAGATCTTGTCAGATTTCAAGTCACCGGCAATTTCGGGAGTTGTATCAAAATAAGTTGCCAACATTTCCAAAATTGACTGTTGTTATTACATACATTTATCAATGCTGCGTTGATCGAGACCATGTTTTTAAAATTATATTGAGTTTTGGCTGAGTTTCGACGATAGATATGAACTTGGGCAGTATCAAAGCGCTGGAAGCGCACAGAAGACGGTACCCTTGTTATAACATATAGTATAGGGGTATAATGAAAATCGTCGAAACGTGTCAGAATATTGTTTTTATGAATTTTTATTGTGCAAATCAACTTGCATTGATATTTTTAATGGGTTGTAGCAGGGCCTTCGGGGGGAGGGGGCCCGGGATAATGTCAGATCACAGCGTCTTCCCCCTGTTGTTTGCTCGTTCAATTGTCATACTTTTCTTGAAACAACCTCCCCTACCCAAATATATCAGTATCATAAAAAGTAAATAACAATGTTCCTCGTCCTCGAGTCATCCCATTTTAAATATGTGTAAACAATTCATTCCATGCAGAACTCTGGTTGTCGTGGAAACGAAAACGAAACAAAGTCGGAAAAAATCCAGTTAAGAGATGGGGTCACTTCGTCTTTGTATATATTTAGAAATCATTGAAAAATCATTTTGGTTAAATTTGTTGTTCAGACTCCGATATTATATTCATTATACATGTATATGACTACGAATTTTATGGTATGGGAATAACATAATGCCATGATAATATGTGTATCTCAATGTTATATTATCGCAGAAGGACGACCTTTTACATGACACTGCTCAGCTCTGTGTGTTTGGCTTTTTATTAGGATAATATTCTGACGTACATTATAATAGCAAAGTAACTTCAATAATTTATTTTATACAGTGGGGAATATCAGTTCTACAAATTGCTTGTTTATAAAATAGAAACAGTGAAACATTTCACCTTACTTATTAGGATACACAAATGATCTTATGTACTCAATTCACCTTAAAATGACATTTTTAGGTCCCAACATGAATTAATGTATACATTCTAAAATTTTGGGTTAGAAACGTAAATATGTTGAGCCGGCAAAATCACCGAGTAATTTCAAAACAAGTCATGTGACTTGAACAACCCTGGAAGTTACAACAACAGATATTGTGGATATTGTATGATAAAAACAAGTCTGTCATTCATTTGACATGATCTTTAACGTTTCCAGAGTTCACTGTGACAACTTTTGTGAAATCGTAACGCTCTAACCTGACCCACGTGTGTCAAGTTAGGAAACCACCGTTTTATTCTTCATAAGTCCTGTGACTGCCTAGTATATTCATTTTGAGAACATTTACAAAATATTGAATGAAAGAATTCAAAACAAAAAGATAAAAAATTTCCCTGTGTCCCTTTTTTAATCTTCGTGTTTCTAATATTCTTCTCATAACGACACAATGCCTGTTGCTTTTTTTTCTTTCTTTTTTCGACACTTAAATTACCTTTTTAGAAGAAAGAGTTGGATGAAACTCCTGCATATATCTGTAAATGTGACATCTTCCTCACTTATAAAGTATATATGATATGGTATAGTTTCCCTTTGTTTATTAGAACGTGGCAGATCATATATAGAGAAGATCAAGAGCAGCGAACAAAGAAGAACAACAAGAAAACAAGGAAAATTAGCTTACTCGAAATCCGACTCTCAGCTTAAACACCCGCAAGTAAGGTTGCGACATAAAATTGTTTTTGAGACTAAGGCGAGAGAGGAAGTTGTCAACGAACAAGGTCCACCCGCAGTTCCTATGACGTCAATGGGTACGATTTTTTATAAACAAAACAAAATCAACTGTTCTACATGAATTTGGCATTTTAATAGTAAATCAAAGGTTTTCAAATTGGATAGTTAAAAAGAATGGCGATATGTCGCGCACAGGACCCAGGTTTGTACCCAAAAGATCATTTTCACACTTTTACTTCAAAAGGAAATTTTTCATAAAAATGCAATAATTTTTGTGTCCGGTCAGTTATTCTGTCATTCAATTTAGATTTTAATTTACCTTTGCATATATGTGTTGGAGTTAATGACAATATGTCGCTGGCAATAATCAGGTCGTAACCTAAAGAGTCAGAGTCACACCTGTCCTGTACGTAAAAAAATCATAATAGAGCATTGATTGGTCGTGTGCATTCAACAATTCTGTCATTCCTTGATGGGTTTAAAACAAATTTAGCATATGTTTAATTTACATGATGAGGTGCAAATAGAAAGCATGTATTCAGCTTAAAGTTTAAGGTCAGGCTTGTAAGTCATATGTCATGGTCATGTTTTGTCCGTTACTTTATTGTTCGTGGATGGATATTGAAAGAATTATGCATAACTATGTTGCTTAACAAGTCGACAATTGGACAATGAACAATATCACGGTCAGCGGTTAAAAGTTCAAGGTCAAACTTGCTTTTAAAATTCTTTTACTTAAATGATTATCATGTGGTATTTGAAATTAAATATTTGAAAAAGATAAGAATAAAATTATAGTTTAAAGGTCAATGTTAAAAATCTGGAAACAAAGAGTAAACTAAAATTTTTAAGGTAAAATTTCATAAAGTTCTTTGAGTGTCGTGTTCGGTCATCAGTTCTGTCATACATAAATGGATTTTAAAATAACTAGGCATTATACTGTAGCATATTCAGAGGACTTGCCGTTTGCAAATGATAGATCGACAGCTAAGAAGATAATTGCTATATAAAAGGAATGTACTTGCATATCAAAAGAATACATTGAAATTTGTGTCTGATCCTTTGTCATTCATTCATACATTTTTTATGATTTTGCCCACCAAGAACATAAGAAAGTGTTTAAAAATAGTTTTTTTTTAAGAACACTCTTTTTAAAGTAATCATGCCTTTGTTGTAAGTCAAAGGACACTAATCCTCTACTGGGCACTGCTTTGGTAGAGTGGGTGGGGTATTTGCTTGTTTCCAACGACAATTTTTGTTATGTCTTCAGTTATATCAAATAGAAATCCGTTTACGGAGACGATGCTATATCAAAGGTTGAATCGTTCCGTGTCCACTGATGATAATCGATTTGATGGCTCGGTCAGATCCTCAAGGCATCCGAAACTCCCAACGATCATATCTGGTGTTCCTACAGAAGATCAAGGTATTTATATTAAATTATGTAGCTAATCAAAAGGAGATTTAATTTTGTTTCTTAAGTAAGATCCGTTTGCTCTGCAGATATAATTTAATGTATACTACAGAGACTATAAGACTTACTCCAGAATTAAGAATATTTTGGCTTTTCCCAGCTAATCCGGGAGTACAAACAAACTTTTACAGTTACAACTTCGAATTAAGCGCAACAGGTTGACTTATCTATTGTGACCGATAGTGCACCGTGAAGCTATAACGGTTAAAGTATGTTTGTACCGGGGGATAAGCATGAAAAAATCCACATTTGCCGAGTTCCGGATAACATATATGTTATTTACATGATTGTATGAATCGTCACAATTAAAATTTTTCATAAATCTGCAAAAAGAACTTTTTAAAGTTTATTTTTAAGTACAAAATAGCAAGCGTTAAGATATATAATTAAATACTTATCCGATAAAACTTGATATTGCGTGTTCATTATGTTTCATCACTGGTCTATATTTTGTTTTTATTGTGTTGAAGATATTCCAGTATTTGAGGCATCCCAGACAGAGGATGAGGAATGGAGAGAATTTACATTAAGTGGTGCCAATCCTGCCTATAGCTCAAATGACCCCAGAGTTCAAACGTCTCCTACTACCAGAAAAAAATCATTTGAAAAAGGTTGTTTAGTTCTGAACTATAAAAGTAACGATAATATTTGTAATACACTTGCTATTGTATTTAAAATTCTCAAAGGCAGTGTTATGTCTACTTGAATTTCTTCTCTATATATTAATATTTCTTTTCTTGTAGCAATATTTGTATCTTAGTCTGTATCAATACATTTTAGTCTTACCACAATATAATACGAGTGACTTGTTTTGCTATCAAATTATGCAATCTTTGTTTATATTTATTTATATTTTTATATCTATTTTCTTAAGTATATTCCATTGTTTTTCCCTTCGTTCATTTTTTTTTTATATAACAAAACCCAACTTTTCCGATGTTTTTATAACTTTTTACTGTAATTGATAAGTTTTAATTTCATGCAGGTCAATGGAAACGAAAGCATCGAACATCAAGAGGATCTGCTTCTAGTGAAGAAACACCATCACCGCGATTAGGGGGTCGAAAGGTTCTAATTAAGTGTATTTTGTAAAATGAATTAATATTCAATTTTTGTATATTTATTCGTTTTGTCTTGAACTTTAAATTATTTGTAAATATAACCAGTAAACATGCGAACATTAGTTCCTTAATAGTTTTGTATATAAAAATGAACGTCAAGAAAGTAATACGAGTTTAAGAATGTTATTAAGTTTAGATCAACCAAAAGTATTTTTTTATTTTTGTCAGATGTCAGAACCAGTTCTGTCCGGTCTAGATCGTGTAACTCTTCCAAGACGCAGCAGCGAGGAACATTTATATGGTAAATTTTGTCAATGTTTGCGTATTTTACATACAGCAACCAAATAACTATCAATGCTTTGCTCCGTTATTTGGTTTCACGTGTTGTTAGCCTACTATGCGTTGTTAAACAATAGATTTGTTTAAGAATTTTGCGCAAAGTTTCGTGTCTGATTAAGAAGGATACCGGTAGTACGCTCGCTTTTGATATTGCATGCCATCATTTCACGTTTCGGAGATATTTTTCAGTATTGCTTTCGCAAAAACATTATCTAAACCATATAATTAATGATCGAAAATTTCTGCTCACATCACTTTCCACGTGTGCAACTTATCATCCGTTATAGATAAACTATTTCAATGAACTCATGTTCACAAAGCGGCCAAAAAATTTCTACATCTTTAGCCATATTAAAGGGACACACAGGCAAAATGTTCATTTCATCGTTTTGAATTTTTCATTCATACATTTGTTCAATTTGAATACACCAGGCAGTCACAGGAACAAAACTTTTCTCCTTTGAAAGAATAAAATGGTGGTTCCCTAACTTGGCCCGCGTGGGTTAGGTTAGAGTGTTAAGATTTCACAATTGTTGTCACAGTGAATTCTGGAAACCTTAAAGAACATGACAAATGAATGGCCTAGACATGTTTCAATCATATAATATTCTCAATATCTGTTATTGTAACTTCCAGGTTTTGTTCAAGTTTCATGACTTTTTTTAAAAACTACTCGATGATTATGTCGGCGCATACATTCGTTCAACTTATATATATAGATATATATCTACATGTATATTTACGCATCAAACCCAAAATATATAGAATTTATACAAAAATTCATGTTGGGACTTTAAAAATGTCATTTAGCATGATTTGAGTACATAAGATCATTTTAATATTTTTGTCATTAATTTGAGTATTCCTTTAATGTGGATAATGAATAGTGTTGCGCTACAAATGTATTTCATGGTGTTCTAAATATATCTTTTAATTAATGTTAATTTTATTGTATCTTTCAAGGCAATGCCAGGCAAAGATATTTAACCGGCAAGACGTTTTGGTCGATGTCTTTATTGATTTCAGTGGCTATTGTGTGATTTTTGAGTCCAATATAAATTTTAAAACAACTATTTTTCTAAAATTTGAGTCAGTGATATCAAACTTCATTTCAGAAAGTACCCTTGAATTCAGAACGCTGCTATATTTAGACATATCTGAGAACTTTGTACAGAATATAACATCACTAGTGTCTCAAAACCTCACCGAATGTTTGGCTAAACTACATACATTAGACCTTCGTTCTAACAAGTTATCTCAGTTACCTGAAGATTTGTGGAAGGTATGCTGTAACTTACACTAGCAAGATTGTATTATAATATTTCATACATGTACTTGACATGTATGTCAATTATAAAACTTTATACTTCAATATTGCTTGTGATAACTTGTTTTATCTTGCATTTTTTTATATTTTGTTATATTTCATTATGATTTTTTTTTGTAAATTTTGATCAAACAATCTCAAGTATAAGATTGTTATTCTTTCATTGCAGCTTATTGTGACATTAAACTTACTTGATACTGGTACAGAATTATTCATTTCGTAATATATATATAGTGATTGTAACATTAGATTTACTAAAATACCATGAAAGAGGGTTTTTGTCGTATATATAGAACTATGTTATACATTTTCTAAAAATACGAGTTATAGAGATGATTGTTTATGCCGTGTATATCGTCATTGTTTAATTAAATAAACTTTAAGACTGGTAAAGAATTATTCTTATTGTCGTATATGTATTAATTTGATATAGAAATAATACTTACCATTTCAGTATAATTCACAAACTGTTATGTTTATATGATTATAGAATTTACCACTTCTTCATCTAATGGATGCATCATATAATGAACTTGAAGAGTTTCCGGATACTTTACTACAGTGTAAAAGACTGGCACAACTACGACTTGGAGTTAACAAGGTAAACATAGTGTATTAGGAAGGTAATCTATACCATCTACATCTCTGATCTGTAAATTTATTACATTAAAACAATTAAATGTTAAATTTTGATGCAGTCGGTGCTAAGGGGTGTGAACAATGGCAGCATTAACTACTGCCGTCCATGATCAATCTCAAACCAAGCAAGCCTTTAGCAATTTATCAGAGTTATAGAGCCAGAGTAAGGCAATCAGAATAGATGGAATTTAGATAGAGAATTTCATGTAAATATGTATATTCTTATTTCATTTTTTTTACAGATTAAAGTGGTGACATTGAGGCATTTCAATACGTCCTTGAAGAGTTTAGATCTGACACGGAATCAAATCAAAGAACTTCCAGAAGGCATTGGTAATTACTTACATAACGTCCAGGACCTTTGTTTATCTCAGTAAGTATTTGTCACATTAACCATATCATGAACTACACTAAGAGCAAATATCATAACTCCGCATTTTCCCTGAAATTTTCTCTATTTTTTGCGTGATACAGCATTTGATACTATTTAAAGTGATTGAATGGCTTCTTTTAGGATGACAAATATGTCATGTAATGTCTGGAAGGAAGGGCGTTAAGATTTATGAAGGTCGTTTATGGAAGTAAAACAACATTATTAATGAAACCAACTCATGAACAAACTCTATTAGAAATATTTTATATAGAAAATGCAAATTTCAAATATTGCCAAGATGCGCTTCGATAACAGTCTGTCTTAAATGACTAATAATGTTAAAGTAAAAGAAGGTAAATGAACTAATAATGGACGCAAAATGTGTGTTTTACATTCAAAAAATATAATTACCTTAATATCCCTTTATCTCTGCAGTAATGATCTCATAGCGTTGCCGGAAAATTCCATTGGTTTACAGATGCTACAAACACTAGACCTGTCATATAATCAGATTGACTGTGTACCAGATGAGTTCCTTCTTACCTGCACAAAACTGGAAACATTAGATCTCTCATATAATCTTTTAAGTAAGTCCAATAACTGCCAGTGTGACTTTTATATGTATTGTATCAGTTTTACCGTTATTTTGGCTGTGTTTAATCTCGGCAATGGACGTTCATGTGCGGCAAGCATAACTGACGTGTCAAAGTATTTTTTTTACATTCTTAAAATTACAATCGTCTTTTTTTTTTTTTTGGTGAAAGTATTAGTGTAATAATATATCATTTAAGACGGTAGGTAAAACATAATTCATTTCACGTTATATTCATTTTCGTTTTGGAAATGAAATCTTTCTAATACACCAGTACCCTGAAATAGCATTTCAATGCGTACGGTTTATTCCATTAACGTTTATCATGACAAGGTAACGAATATTTGAACACATTTATACAACTTATATTTGCTTTATAATAATCACACTCCTATCTAATGGTAATTTGTTTAATATTACAGCACGTTTACCTGATGAGAAAAATGCAGAAAAGCTTATAAATTTAGCAAAGCTCAAAGTACGTCACAATCACCTCGTGGAAAAGGAGCCTTTCTATATACCTAGATTTATTCTTGAACTGCCAAGGTCAGTAGTGCACAAATGCTCTTTTTTTTGCACAGGTATATTATACAAGAAGTCATTTGATAATGTGTTGAATTGGGCAAAGATGCCTTTAACTCTTATATTTATTGCTACTTTAAAATGGTATATTTGCTTTTGATGACATATGTTTTAGCTTCATTTTTTGCTTTTTTGCAGTCTAAGGTCAATAGATATCAGTGAGAATCAGTTGGCAGGCTTTCCATCATTGTCAATCTGGAAAACACAAACCATGAAAGATTTTATAGCATCAAAAAATAACATAACCAAGGTGACTTTATGATATATATAATATTTAACTTACTATGTTGATTAATAATCATTGTGTGTATGAAAATGAAAACGGTAGTAAGTCAGTATAATGCCTGCTCCAAATTTTTCACTTTGATAATTCTCAAATATTAAACTTTTGAAAGTAATATTTAATATTTGTCATGCAAAATATCATAACGTATCTCCATCTTTTGTTGTAAAATTTTACTTTTTGAATATGTAATATAATGAAAAGTTTTAAAATGAACATTTTTTACAAATATGATTGTATATGGCATCTAATGCTTTGTTTATTTTCAGCTAAATCTAGAAAATCCAAAGCCATGGTCAAAGTTAGAAAAACTACACGTTTCCCACAATAAGCTCAAATTGGTAAATAAACCATTTTTTATGATAAGTTGCATATTCTACATTATTCAACATAGGTATGCAGAAGTAATATCACCATTTTCATTTTTTGCTTAAGGTGGTACTGGGGAGTGGACGGTTACTTGCACTTTCTAGTACTTCCATGAAAAAGCTCAATCAAACCCAGCCTGTAACATTTCCAGTTTTGTTGTTTTGTACATTCTTAAGGTATACTATTTATCTTTATTTTGATTTCTCCAACGAGTTTAGAGGTCAAAACTATATAAAACAACCACTAGACTTTTTACCCAGTACTGTGTTGATATTTATATATCTAAATACTAATTGTTTTTTTTTTGTTCTCAGTTACCGAAGGAAATTGGACAGTTCACGTCTCTGACGTCACTAGATTTTAGCCATAATAAAGATATCACATCACTTCCGGATGAACTCGGCAGATGCTCAAAAATATACGAGGTAATGTTTAAACATTTCGGCACAAAAACTTCAAACTCGTTTCAATTTCAAAGATATTTTAAGCCGTTATATATTGGTTAATGCAGTTCTTATAATAACTTGTAACGGTTAAGCCATTTCGCTTCATATAGTAAACATTGTTAAAAATACTGGTGTATTTAACTTTGTTATACAGATGCCAATAGATGGACTAGATTTGGATATGAGTAGAGTTATCACAGCACGGAGGGTCAAGGATATCATTAGTTACCTCCATAACAGATTAAAGAAGGTATACTTTATTTGTTGAATCTTATAACAGAATGACTTCAATCTCTTATTAACGTTTCCTGTCAATAAAGACATGGAGACAATAAATATGTGCGGCTTGCTTTCTATATGTTAAAGTTTATTATTCAGTTTAAATTAAAGTTTGATGTATGTGATTACTCATGTAGTAAATACGTTAGCAAGCTTGTTGTAGCGTTAAACAACGTTTATGTTATTGCACCAAGAAGAAGTGAGCACAATGGCCCATTCTATTTTGTACTTTTATTCATTTACTAATCGCTGTTGCATTAATAATGCTCTTCCTCATATTGTACTGTTTCTAAACTTTCCATTTCTAGAACTTCAACTGAATGTTAATTGTCAAGCAAATAAACCAATAGAATGTATATCATATAATTTTGTTTAAAATGAATTTAACCTAATGAAAATACATATCTCCGTGCAGGCACAGCGTTATTATCGTATGAAACTAATGGTTGTTGGATATGGTGGGAGAGGAAAGACAACTTTGCTTAAGACACTTATGAAAGAAAAGGTTAAAAAGAAGGAAAACAGACCAACTGTCGGTGTTGTTGTGAAGGACTGGGTGTACGTATTTATTCTAGTTACATATTTTGATGAACATCATACATTACGCAGTAATTAGTAGTAAGATGTTAAAGTTTTGTGTCCAATTATTTTCCCGACAAGTGATGCAGAAAGGAGAAAATACATGAATATCAAATTATGTTTTTCATATTGCACCATATTTTTAAAAGAGTATCAAAGGTTGCCAGCAGTTGTTGCTTGTTATATCTGCGCTGATTGTAACGATCATGATATAAATATTTGTTGTCATGGATACAGGTACACAATGTTTGACAGGCGAGTGAGTGATGATGGTATTAGACTCTTTAATGCCAGAAAAGTACATGTAACATTGAATACTTGGGATTTTGCTGGTCAAGAAGATTTCTACAGTACTCATAACTGTTATCTCTCAAATAGAGCAGTTTATTTGGTAAGCATGTCATAGATAAATCTAACATTCAGTGCAAGATATGGATCCGAACAATTAATGAATAATATATTTTCATTGAAATTTATAACCACGGCTTTAATGAACATTGCATTTTCAGCAAAATATGCGTCCATGATATTTCCTAAGTTTCTTTTGTCTTTTATTATTACACTTAAATATCTCTAATATTTTAAAAGATGTCAACAAAATTTTTAACAATTTTGTAAAAGTCTTATGAAAGAAAGTTATGCAATCTGTAAGATTCTGTCAATTATATGTATACTCAGAGTTTATTTTGCTTGAACGATATTGAATCCAAGAATTCTGCAAGAGTTTTTGTTAAATGATATATATTAGATTTTGAAGCGTAGAGATTAAGCTTGTATCGCCGGCCACTTTTTTTGGCCCTTCAGTACTAGCTCATGTTCATGTTTTTTTATGAAGCTTGACAATAGTAAATGTAATGATTTCTTCATATTAATTATGTGACAGGATGTAATATTACATTTATGATAACAATTACTATAATTATGGATTAATAGACCAATAGCACCATGAAATAAAACGTACTTGTATATATAATAATTTAACGATATATCGATTGCAGGTAGTATTTGACTTACGGAAAGGTGTTGGTGAATGTGAAAATTTGAAGTCTTGGTTAGGAAGCATTCGATCTCGAGCACCAGGTTGTCCTGTTTTTATTGTTGGCACTCATCTAGACAATCTTGATGGTAAGATTATTGGCAATGAAATCTCATTATCAACAATTGACTGCGCGTTATAAAATATCGCACATATAGAATTTCGTAAATTGTTATTCATTTTAATGATACTTGAACGTTGTGTTATTTGAAAGTTAAATTATAGCATTGCTTTGAATAAAAGCGTTATAACTTTGGATAATATCAACACGTTAAGAAATTTATTTTCCTTTCTAATGATTTATTTGTATCGTATATTCAAGCATTTATTTTATTTAATTATTGTGTTTTGTTTAATTATTTGTAGAAGGAAACAAAGAAAAAAGAATAACACAGGTTACAGATATGCTTAGGGAAATAAACATTAAACCAGGTATGATTTTTTTACGTGTTTCAAAACGTAAGTTTTGCAACCAAAAGGTGTGTTGCAATTATTGAAGAGAAAAAATACATTCATAGTTTTATCATTTAGTTGTTTTTAATGAAAAAAGTACAATTACAATTTAAAGTATGAAATAATGCTTTTAGATAAAAATTTACAATGTAAAATACTCAGGGATGTAGCTTCACTTAGGCCGTATGGACCAAGCATAAATTTGTTCATCTGTATTTTCTAACAACACCATAACAAACATGTTTACACCAAAATGCACCTACTATAATCGAAAGCAGTAGGGGTTGCATTTAACTTCCCCGGCCCCCTATGATTCGACCTTCTCAAGAGTATTGCAGATTAACTGACTTAGATTAACAGTAAATATTTTTTAATTAATGCTACTTGACATTATATATTTAGTACATTAATTGTAATTATTTTCATTCAGGTTTTCCTGACATAAACCATGTTTTCCTGGTTGATGCGTCATGCGAGAATGAAGATATGGACGACCTTCGAAAAGCCATCAAAAAAGTGGTTGACACGTAATTTATTTCATGTTATATTGTTATATAGATTTTATCAAGGCCATAGAAGCATTTCAACTATTGATCAACAGTATCAGTGAATAATGTGTGCTCGTTATAACAAGAACGCTTTCAGGTTTATAATTAAAGCAAACCTACAAACGTATATTTATAAAAATATTTCATTGTTCGTTTTAGTACTCGTAGCGTTGCATACAGTTTTGTATTTTGGAATTTATTGACAATTCAAACTAGAATAAAACAATCCCTTTTCGGGGGTCTGTTTATCGCTTGTTAAAAGATGTGTTGTCAGCACATACTTTTGCTATGATTGTAAAATGAATGTAATTTTAATGTATTTAACAGGTTTCAGATTCGTGGACAACGTGTCATGGGTGAGAAAATCCCAGCTAGTTATGTTGTAAGTATTTGCACGTTATAAAAAAGTATCTGAAAACAAAGTGTTTTAATAAAGAATAGCCCTTAACCTGTTTGAATCGAACAGGACTTAGCCTTTCCATTAGTTAAGAGCCAGGCAAGCATGAGCGTTCCTGGTCATACTGTACATCTCAGGCTCTACACTCTATTTTGCATTTTGATATTAAAAGCTTAAACATTAATTGAACTGTTTCATATTCAAATAAGGGAAAAGTTATTACATAAATATTTTAAATAATTTCAGTAGGGTAAAGAATTTAACAAAGCTTGTACTGTCAAGATAACATACAACCTAATTAAGAAATATCCCTGGAAACGTTACATTTGTCATAATTTTAATGTTCTGATATTCAGCAATTAGCAGACTTATTATCAGAGAGAGCGAAGTCAGATGAATGTAAATACCCTGTTTTACAATACAGAGAACTTCTAGAATTAGTTCATGACAAGAAACTTGATTTAGACGAGAGTGAACTTCAACAAGTAATTATTCAGCTTATGTATTTACAGCTGCTTCCGAATTAATAGCATATCAATTATGTCGGATACAAGCTTGAAGCTTATGTTTTGTAATGTTAACCATAACCAACTATAAATAAAGTTTGTCTTACTGTCTTATCAATTATGGATTTTCTTATGAGAGAGAATGGGTATTACATTATATCTCACACAAGTGTCAGTCAAATAATTATTATCCTTATAATTTAATATCACTGATTATATTCATCATTGACTTAAAAGACATTTACGGCTTTTATAAATGCTTGTCTGTTTTGTATCTTTAGCTCTTTGTAAACGTTGGAGAATTTGTCTGATTGTATATGTATATGATTTACATTTTTTGGGTTAAAATGTTATGTCTATACTGACAACCTTGTTTGTTCAGGCTGTAAAATTCCTGCACGAATCTGGTGTCTTGTTGCACTATGACGATGCGTCCCTGAGGTTGAAAGATTATTATTTCATAGATCCGGGGTGGCTATGTCAAATGATGGCTCAAATCATCACTGTGAGACAAATAAACCCTTTTATAAACACAGACGGGGTAAATTCAACTTTAACTATTCTGACTAATTTTTAATACTTGAAAAACTATCGAATCTTATTCTTAAAATCTCAAATTATTTTTATGATATTATTTCTACAGATTTTATTTTTATAACTGTTTCAAATTCCTGTTTTATTTAACAAATTTCTTATATGTATTTGCAAAAATATGTCTTCTTACTCATTTTATATTTACAATATGCAATACTTATAGTTTTGTATACAATAGCTTAATTTTTGTATAAAATACCAAATATTTTGTATACAATACTTATTGTTCTTAATACTTATAGTTGTTTTCATGCATTGATTTTTATTTCAGATTTTGAAGAAAAGAGATATAGATATATTATTTAAAGAAAAGTCCAAATCAACACGATTTCCGCAATATCTAATTCCTCAGTATATAAAACTTTTGGAAAAGTATGTTCAGCGTAACATTTTGTTGCATTTATTTAACCTTAGATTTAATATTAATTTAAAAATTGATCAATTCAACAGAAAAAAAAATTGACGAAATCGTGATAGAATCATTTAATTGATCTAAATATTTGAAGATATCAAATTTTCAGCTTGTAGGGATGTGAATATCACGTAATGTATTTATACACCGTAAATGTATCTTGTTTTAAAATGTTTATTTTAGGTTTGAGATTGCTCTTCCGCATTCTGAAACAGAATTACTTATACCTTCAAAACTTCCAAAAGCAAAGCCTGTAATTCACCCGCCTGGATTATGTGAGTTACCATATTATTTTTGTTATATCAAAGGCAAATCATATCAAAAAAATCAAAATAAACAATATTTTTTAATTATTAACTAACTATAATGAAATCTGCAGACATCACGTACGAGGTTTCGATTTATATATGTTATATAAAATGATACCTTAAATATATTGAACAAGAACGTTGGGGATGCGTGAAATATGTCTTTCTGTGGTAAGACAAATGATTCGCCTACATCTATCATAATTTTAATTCATTTTTGTTGTATTTATGATTATTTAACACAACAATGCACGTTTGTTTTCAGTAAAAATATGTAGAATTTACCGGATGCCACATGTACCTATCGGATTATGGTTCCGCTTGATTGCACGAATGATCTCCATGACAATGCATATAGGATTTCAGGTAAAATAATTTCACAATAAAGAAAATCTAATGGCTTATAGAAATCACTCCAAATGAAGTTGCTGATCAGTCCTGAGGTAGATTATTGGAGACGTGGATTATTGTAAATAATAACATTTCGATTTACCTCGTAAAGATTCGCCCTACTCAGAGGGTATGATAAGAATACATATAAACATATAGCACACTGAAAACTGCTCGATAAATTTGTTTTGAATTTTGCATGATCTAAGAATAATTATGATAATCGAAATTATTTCAGCGAAAGTGATTAGGTTTCAGCGACCACGTGTTTGAGTATTTCGCCCTTCATAACTTACATAATGTCTCTGTTTTATATAACTATAGGAACATTTTCAGATTGATACAATTAATTTGAAATTTACTTAACCCTAATCAATTATATTTTTGTTATTTAGTCCATCATGAAACTCAGTAAACCACAGAAAACTGTGTGCTGGAGAAAAGGAGTGTATATATACTGGTCAGAGGTATGCATTGATTTATATCTTCTCTTTCTTAACTGATATGATCTGAATTGGTGAATTTGTTTTCTACAATTGTAAAAATGGTCATTTGAGATTATTTTTGCAAGCCTTATTGTCAAAAATAAAAATGAACACATATGATTTTAAAAGGTTATTCGTAGGGTTTTTTCACGTAATTGCTTGGGAATGTGAATGAAATAACTTACAAATTCTGTAACACAGATATGTCAGTTTGAAAATCAAAAGCAAAAATAAAAGTTTATGTTGATTCCTAGAAACATCTTCGTGTTGCTATACTTTGTATGTTCTCGGAATTGAAATGTTATACTTTTTTCTGTATGATCGAACACTTTATTTACAGACTGAATACTTTCTACTTGATTCGTCTACTGATGAAGTTGAACAAACAGATTCCATTCATATAACAGTACCATCTTTTCACCAGGGTTCAAGGTGATAATATAGTAACATTGCACCCTTTCATATAATTCAAAATTCGGGCATTTAATTGCCCAAGACAGAGATGCATGCAATCAAATATGTATTTGTAACTGGCTAAATACAATGAAGTAACAATCATACTGAATTAATACATTTGGATAAATTTATTTTGGGCGTCCGTGACCGATTAGTTAAGGTCGTTGACATCAAACCACTTGCCACTCACCTCACGGCTTTGGGTTTTTTTTATGTCAGAAAGCTACCCAGTTAGCTTACGGAACGTCGATGGTTTTACTCAGATGCCCGTTTATGCCTGAATGAATGCACAGAGGGACACCTGAGATCTTTCTCCAGTATTAAAGCTGAAAAGTCGCCATGTGACCAATACTGTGTTGGTTCGACAAAAAACCCAACCCCTGTGTTGGTTCGACAAAAAACCCAACCCCTGTGTTGGTTCGACAAAAAACCCAACAAAAAACTTCAAATCAATCTTTACATTCAATAATTTGAAGTGTCATTGGTAAATGTATATGACACTTATTGACAACAAAAATTAGGGGAAGAATTTTGTGCAAAAGGAGTAGAAATAATTTGTAATAATGATACATTATATATGTTCTGCCTCGTAAAAGTGAATAAACAAAACACAATTACTATCAGACAGTTTAACCAGCTTTATTCAATATCTTTATACGTGTGTGTGCGTGTGGTAAAGGCTGAAAATATATAAAAAGAAAATACTAAGTACTATAGGTAAATTTCTATCAAAGTCATACATTCATCACAAATGAAGCAAAGTTCTACTTGTAATTTAGTTCATAAACCTTTACTTGCAATTCAGAAATTAACGTACTTTACTTAAGGTCAAACAATATAAACTTTATACATCTTCACTGAAAAAAGGTTCCACATGAAATTCTATATAAATTGTTACGAGAATTTAATGTACGAATCTACAAACTTATTTCACCAAATAGTAGCAAAGTACAAAACATTATATCAATGTATTAACGTAAATCATATATAGTAACAGTCTGTGAGTGGAAAAACTTTATAGACATCTACAGCCAAATCTTTTACAAAATTTACAAATGGCAGTGCCGCACCGCTTAAACACGAGAACGTATTTATTTATTTATTTATTTTATTTTAGCAACAACATAGATCACAGTTACATAATAAGATATATATATATAAATAAATATATATAAAATAACAGTTTATCCAAATTAAAATATCATTTCATATTAATAATAAATAAACAAATTTAGTTAATGACTGAGATCAGATGAGGCATTGGATAAGTGTATTTAAAAAAAGAAGCAAATAAATAAATTAATAAAATCACATTTCAGGTTAAGACTACAATAGTCAGAATTATAATCATCACAGATTATTGTTTAAAGTTACTGATAAACATGATATAAAAGAAATAAAAGAATTTCAATAAAATTTCAATACAAAGGTTTTGTTAAATAGTGATCTATGGTTACAAGGATAGCCCATTAAGCTGGTGTGCTTATTTCCAATGGGGTCCTGTTAACCAAATAGATGGAAACAAGATGAAACCAGAGAGACATTCATTCCTCAAATAAAAATAGACAATGAGATAACCTTCAAATTATTCAATCACAGTAGTTTTGCATTATCACAGAAAGAAAGGCACAGGAAAAAATAAGATAACTAAAAAACAATAAAGTTTGGCGAACCTATGTCGCCACTTAGTAATATAAAAAATCACTTTGATGTTGCGCAGCCCATATTGAAGCAAGATGGCTTTTAACAGAATTTTTATATAAAGTTGGATTTGATATACATTTTACATCATCTGGCAAACTATTCCAATCTTTAATACCATTATAGAAAAAGGTGCTATTACATGTCTTATTACAAAGAGGAATTGAAAAATTAAACTTATTTGATCTAGTGTTGTAGTTGTGTATATCAGACATCCGAACAAAATTTGTTTTCATATAAGTTGGACACTTATTATAAAAAATCTTATGCATATGATTAAGTCTCAGTTGTTTAACTCTGTTTTCAATATTTAACATGTTAACATCTGTAAAATCAGAAGGAGTTAAACTAGTTCTTGGATGGTAATCTTTTATAAACCTTATGACTTTGTTTTGAGCTACTTGCAGTTTCTTTTTCAGACTTTTATTTAAACTTTCGTACCAGGACGAACAAGAATAGTCAAAATGACATTGGATTAAAGCAGAACAAAGCAATTTTCTACAGTTAAATGATAGACATTTACTGTTTCTGTACAAAAATTTAAGTTTAGTGTTTACTTTAGATATGACTGTATTAACAATTTCTTCTCCAGACAGAAGATTTTCAATTTTCAAACCAAGATATTTGACTGTCTTAGTAGATTCAATAGTGTGACCATTACAAATAATATTAAAATTATTAATCTTTTTAAGTTTTTTCTTTGGACCAAAAATCATACATTCAGTTTTTCCTAAGTGGAGAGACAGTTTATTATCAACTAGCCAATCTGAACAAGATTCTAGAGCTTTACCTAATTTCTGTGAAATAAAATCAGGATCATGATGAGAAAAAAGTATAGTGCTGTCATCAGCATACAAAATAAGCTTACACTCAGAATCGATACTGGTGATCATATCATTTACATAGCATAAAAAGAGCAATGGACCTAAAATACTTACCTGAGGAACACCACAATTTACTATTGATGGAGAAGAAGAAAACTCTCCAATATGTACTAATTGTAACTTACTCAAACACGACTCTCACTGTAGCGTTATCGACTCATAGTATCGTCCTCAAAAACATCGTCCCAAAACCGATGATACAACACAATATATTTATGTTCACATACAAAATTGCAAGGAATCCTTTAACATAAAACCTTATAACATTGATGTTTTTTCATGGTTATCAATGTTTCAGAAAAAAAGTACACCAGCAATATTTAATTTAAAAATGTGTATGTTATATTTAGGTTATTGGGACAAATTGTTGACAGCCTTGACAATCTGATTGACGAATGGTATCCGGGTCTCACCTGCATTGATCCCATGATGGGACAGGAAGTACTGGAAATACTTGCTCCATGTAGTCACTGTAAAAGTAGGAAATAATCTTTAATGTTTCATTGTAATAATTCTTGTAAGTCAGTGTATTGAATATCGCTAATAGTAATTATAATCGATTGGTCGATACAATAATGATATATTTAATTTAAAGAACAGTCATATATTATATTATATTAAATATATTATGTTATATTTAATATTATAGTTTTAAGTAACGTATTTAAAGGAATATTTTAGCATTTTTTTATTTATTGGCAACATTGCTGCCTTTTCATTTCATTTTATTTTTTTCTAATTAAAAACACCCACAAATTTTACACTCCATATACAATACAAAACCCTCACAATTATTAGGACTATCAATTTAAGTTATTACATCTGTTTTTCAGGTAGTCCCACGATGTTTACAATTCAAAATTTGAGAGTAGTTGCTTCGAAGCAAGACAGTGTTTATTGCCCAACGCATGATGGCGATGTTGATATTACAGACATAGTAGGTTAATCATTACATAAGTAATTACATATACTGACAAGTCACTTTGTATTTCTCCTTTCTGGCCATTATCTTTGTTTAAACAGTTTCGCATCTCTCTTCGGTTGCTACGATTTATGTTCAAAGTAAGTTAGAAAATGTATTTAAAATGATTGTAACACATAAAGTCAGCACATAGACGATTGGTATTCATATAATACATCAATTTTGGTAGTCATGATATAATGATTTATCTTGCAGGCCCCTGATCTTGTTTTGGGCGACTTGGAGGAGGAATTAAAGCTTAATACCAGTCAGTTTGTATTAGAGGAGAGGTACATACGAGTATTTGTTTACACAGCAGCATTAGTTATCTTATAATTTATGAGTAAAATTTCTGAATGTAAATCTTTTGACTGCATATTTTCATGAAACATGATATTTAAAATAGGAATCATTACAAAAAATGAATTTCAACAAGTTTGCATACTATTCTTGTGAATATATCATTCTTATATTGAGGTGTATCTGTATACTTTAGTTCAGACAAGCAACTTGGAGATGGAAGCTTTGGAGATGTTTATAGAGCTATATATAAAAACAAAGTGTGTACAAAATTTCAGTTCGTCTTGATTCAATGTATGATGTTCAATTAATATTTTAACATAAAAATACTTTTTTTTAATTATACCTTTTTTGTTTGTTCGTATTTCATGTATGTGCAATGATTGCAGTATTTTGCTGTTTAATTATGATTTTTGTTTGTTATTGTAAACAAGAAAAATAAATTATAATTACTATAAATTTTCCCTTTAAGCATTCTATCTTAAATACCATCCTTAATATGAAACCCTAGAATATTATGGAGTAAAATATTATTTGAAAGAGGTACATTGCACAATACATTATGATTAAAACAAACATTATTAATGTGAAATGAGTAAACACATAAATGTTGTTATTTTACAGGAGGTGGCAGCCAAAGTGTTCAAAGAGGTGGCAGATGTCCATGCACTTACAATGCTTAGACAAGAGGTAAGCAAAACATCTCAAATATTTGCCATTTGTTGCTATTGTAACGAGTTTTTAGAGCATTATAGTAATACAATACTGACTAGAACGACTCGTCCTTGTAATTTTATTCGTAATGTCATTAATGTATTATGTTAAGCTGTACACCGAAATCCTAATGTTTTCTGTTATTCATACTTCTGTTTTCTAATCCATGTGTATTTCTTCATTTCCCTATGTGTATCAATAGTATTTAAGTGTTTAATTTGTTCTTCATATCTAAAGTTCTCAATCTTTTACCTCATACCATGCTGGTATTTTTACAAAAGGAATAATAATGCTTTTAATGTATTTAGTGAGTAAAACTTCCCATGAAACAATTTTGTTGTTCTAAATTATTATTTCAATATTTACATTTTCCCAAAACTAACTTTATCTTCACGCGCATATGTAATTAAAACTCTGAAAATATTTCAATTTCTCTCTAGGCTAAGATTTTCAATTTCTCTCTAGGCTAAGATTTCAATTTCTCTCTAGGCTACTATAATACGATGTTTGAAACATCCAAGCGTTGTTTGTATGGTTGCTGTCGGTATCCGACCTCCTGTGATTTTGTTGGAGTTGGCACCATATGGGACGCTGAAAACATTGGCAAAGAGAACATATAAGCGGGCATTATACCACAGAATAGCATTGCAGGTAGATCATAGTAATTAAAATAAATTGTTTACATATGCGGAAACTTAGTTCGAATGCACTTTTCAGTAATACATTTGTTCTCAAACTGCTGGAACCACAAATATGCTTTATGATGCAGTAAATTCACTGAATAATAACACACATTTTTGGTGAGTTTTAATTTTCTTTTTTTTTCAAAATGAGATATCTAAATGTAGAAGTATTGAGGGAGGACCATAAATGCATGTGTATCAAATTGTTACAACATCTTATTTCTTTGATTAATCGTTTATGTCTTGTTACAAAACAAAATTTATATATGTTTATACTAAAACAAACAATTTAAGGTGGCAGAGGGATTGATGTATCTGCATAGCATAATGATCATCTTTAGAGACATGAAACCAGAAAATGTTCTTGTCTTTAGTACGTCATTAGACGCTACGGTAAGATAAGTTAAAAATTGATTTAGAATCTTTTTCTTACAAACTCATCTCGAATTATTTAAGTTTAACAAATTTGTAAGGCTCATAATTGTAATACAGATCTATGTTCAGGTGCACGTACCAAATATTATCTATATTTGTGATAAACTTCCACATATTTCGAATTAATGCATACATGTTTTTTTACTGACCATAGAATTGTAATTATTAATGGCTGTAGATATTATATTTCTATTCGGTCGTCATCTGTAGATATTTTTTTAAGGTCGTCTTGTTTCTGCGATAAGTTTTACTCATATTTGATATTTGAAATTTCCAAGTACTGATTACAAGAATATTTTTACAGATAAATGCAAAGATCTCAGATTATGGCATAGCAAGAGTTACAACCCTGCAAGGTCAAATGTCACAGGAAGGAACGCCAGCATATAGGGCACCGGAAGTAATACGTAAAGAGAACTACTCATTCAAGGTAAAATAACTATAACTGAAAAATATTTGACAAAAATCAGAAGAGGGACACGCCAGAAAATCTTTTTTTTAAAAAGGAGATTCAGCTTTTTGTGTAGAACAGTGAATGAAGTTAAAAAAGAATCCAAAAGTACGTCGTTTTACAGAATAAAAGAAAGCTGTAAAAATATTGAATAGATTATATAATACATCTTTTCTTGCATTTACTTAACTGTTGTTTCCTTGTAATGGCTTTGCACATTGTTTTAGATTTAATGATTTTAATTGTATTAATGTAGGCTGATATTTTCTCTTACGGGTTAACCATGTACGTTATGATGACGAATAAACATCCGTTTGACTACATGGACTCCAGAGGAGAAATAGATAGAGCCATTGCAGAGGTCAGTTTTTTAAGTTCTAGTTCTTTCTTTGTTTGTACGAATAGAATACAGAAATATCTTATATTTTCAGCATTATCAAACATAATTATTATTCTCATACATCTGACATCTTACGACTTACTCTGACATTATCATGTTTAATTAAAAATAGTATACAAACTTTACTATTTATAATTTTTATGAAGCAACAATATGCTGCAGCCAGCTTGTAACATTGTTGCCCTTCTTTTAAGCATTAAAAAATATTATTAGATAGTTTTTTTTCTATTTGTTTGCAAATAATTTGAATTTTAAAAAAATAGATACCTGGAACTTTTTTTATTGAAATGAAACTATTTATTGTAACACATGTTGATTTAGGGAGTAACAATGCCACAACCGGATAGTGATAGAGTATCACCAGTAATATGGCCAGATATGACAACAATAACAATGAGTTGTCTGTGTTATGAACCTGCCGACAGACCAGATGCCGAGCAAGTGTGGGAGGCCCTTAGAAGACCTGAGGTTCTTTGTTTAAAGAGACACATCCCCGTGTCAAGATCAACTACTGTCGAGTGTTTGTGTGTCGAGGTATTAATTGTCACAAATAGTACCTGCATGTCATTGTGAATATTGAACAGTTAATTAAAGTGTCTTTGAATACTAAATAAATATCTACGTCTTGACATGTCATTTCAAAAAGGTCTAATCATTTTTTCTTATGTTACTAAAAACACTATATTATATACAATTTGGACTTAAACTTATTCATGTTAAGAGGAAAAAGGTTCATTATTCGCGTGAAAGATCAAATACATGTATATGTTTCAGGAAATTGACTTTGGTGGGATGAACGATTTGAGGTTGTGGATAGCGAGTGGGGATTCGGAAACGTTTCAGCTGTCCTATAGATATGTCAGTGACCTTACATCAGAAACTAAAGTATGTTCTTTTCATATGATTAATATTCACTGGAATTCATATATTATTATTTTAAGGTTTAATATTTATCATCGTAATGATAAGATTAGTTTTAAAGTGGATTGGTCTACATTGGGCACATTTTTCACCAAGTATTTCAAATATTGATGAACACAAAAAAAAAATGTATAATTTGGATATTCTTATGAAATATTCCATGAAAAGAAATGTTGATAAAGTTCAAAGTGAATTAGAATTAACATTTATATGGTGAAAAATAATATTTTGTGCTAGAACATTTTATTGTCTGCTATACTAATAGAGGTAGATTCGAATCCTATACTTGCCAACACCATCTACATGTATATATAATTTTTACGTATGCACTATAAACTTAATTAATTATTACAGTACACTCACTACAGACTTTCAAATATAGACCAATTCTCTTCAAAACAATTTCATACCAAAACGACCTATGTAGTAAAGATCTTAAATTTATTTTCTTATTTTTAGCTCGACTATACGAAGTATATGGAGAGCTGTCGGCGTCGGCGTCCAGATTTTAGATTAAAGTTTTTGTGCAGTAAAATATTTTTCACTATAACTTTGTCATTTCTTAAGGTATCAACTTCAAACTTCAAATATATGTTCCTTATCATCAACCACATCTTATGTGACAAGGTTCATAACTCTAGCACCAATAATTTCAGATTTATCTCCCCTTGAACTTAGAACTTTCCTTAAAAAATACTATTTTTTACTGTTACTTCTTTATTTCTTAAGGGTCAACCTCATACTTCAAATATATGTACCTTATCATCATCCCCATCTTATGTGACAAGGTTCATAACTCTAGCACCAATATTTTCAGATTTATCTCCCCTTGAACTTAGAATTTTCCTCAAAAAATACTATTTCTTACGGTTTCTTCTTTATCATTTAAGGGATCAACCTCATACTTCAAATATATTTACGTTATCATCATCCCCATCTTATGTGACAAGGTTCATAACTCTAGCACCAATATTTTCAGATTTATCTCCCTTTGAACTTAGAATTTTCCATGAAAAATATTATTTTTTACTGTTACTTATTTATTTCTAAAGGGATCAACTTCATACTTCAAATATATTTACGTTATGATCATCCACATCTTATGTGACAAGGTTCATAACTCTAGCACCAATATTGCAAGAATTATCTCCCCATAAACTTAGATTTTTTTTACTAGAAAAATGTTATTTTTTGTTATAACTTTTTTATTTTTAAAGGTATCTACCTCAAACTTCAAATACTTATTCCTTATCATCAATTACATTTTATGTGACAATGTTCATAACTCTTGAAGCAATATTTACAGATTTATCTCTCTTTGAACTTAGGATTTTCTTTAAGAAATATAATAACTTCTTTACTTTTTAAGGTATCTTTTTCAAACTTCAAATATATATTTCTTATCATTACACAAATGTTGTGTGGCAAGGTCCATAACTCTAGCATGACTATTTCTAGAATTATTCCCCTTGATCTTGGAATTTATGTTAACAAATGTTATTTTTTTACTATAACTTAATACATAATTATACATAATTGATTTTTCTTTCATAGTTTTGTCCTCCTTACTGCGTCCAGTATTTTATTATTCGAGCTTCGCTGTCTCCTGTGTCAGCTCTTGTTAGATGTACCAATAATAATAGGTTGCTGCACAACCCGCTTAAGAAATGATTTATTTCATGTCTCAGGACTATATTTATCATGTTATTTTTCCCTGATATGTTTTCATTTAATGTTTAACAAACACAATAATTCATAGCAAAAAGAACATAATGTAAGATTCCAGGTTTTGTTAGTTGGAATTTATATTAATCATAACAGTTATTGAAACTTTTTACTCGTTTTTTTTTAAAGAAATATTTTTCACAAAGTGTTCGTAACAAATTTCCTTCACATAATCTGTTATTTCATGTCTTAGGGTCAACTATTTAAATACGGTCGTGTTTTATGTATGGAACCTCTGGATGACCACCGCCTTGCTCTCGGCACACAGGCTGGCAAGGTTTGGATATATGATACAAGTAACTGCACTCTCCTTAATTCTTCCGCAAACCTGAAAGCGCCTGTTCTGAGTATGAAACACTATAAAAAGTGAGTTAACATTTTATATTTCAGTTTTTATTGCAATGTTTAATATAAAACACACATTGTGCTTTTTAACTATTGTAAATTGAAAATTAGTATCCTCATTTTTCGAATGCCACAAATTAAATGAATTTATTCAGTTTTGTTAACATTTTGGATTGTAAATAATAAAATATGCAAAATGCAAAAAATGGTTCTAAATTATTGATGAATAGAAAAAAAATAATGACACCTTTCCTAAGTAAGGCATTGTCACTTCATAGTAATTACTGAACAGTAATGGTAACGGTTAAGCCCAGAGGTATAGATCCTTACATGACCATAGTCTTTTCAATATGATTATCAGAAAAACAAAATATCTCCTAACAAAAGAACAAATGTTATTTTTTGTGGTTGAATCTTTTTTGAAATAAAAGATCAGAGTAGCTCTCTATCAATACATTGTTATTATTTGAGCAGTGAAGCCAAAGGCAAAGTTTTACTAGCTGGTCTAGCCAATGGAAAACTTGCAATATTTCAAGTACAGGAATTACTTCAGGTATACATTTTATTTCTCATCATACATACAAAAATAAGTTAGGTCCTATTATATATGGTATTTTGCCCGTACTAAAAGTTCTTTATATGAAATAGCTGAATTTAGATATACATTTTATGCTCTGCTTGTCTGTCCATCTATATGCGTACGTATGAAGTCTAGCATTTTTGTCCAGAATAAAATGGATATGAGAATAAAACATCGCTGACTTAAATTTACATACACATTAATGATAGTTTCTTACGTAATATCATAAACATTGTAATATGCATAGCGTATGCCCACTTAGAATCAGGAAGTAGAAAAGTTAACAGTACCTTTAATCTCCTTGAGATCGTCTTATTTTAAAATTATGCATCTTACAACAGCACGTTCTCCGGGCCTATAATGCTCCAACACAAGGAGCCACTTCTTAAACGTATTTTAAATGTATTTAAATATGCATGTTTATAGAAATTGTTATTCAAACAAATAAATCTTTTATAGCAATAACATACTGACTGAAAAATTCAGCTAGATGAACGCTTATTACAGTACTGACTTCTAATTGGTACAAGAAATACAGTTTCATGAACTAACAGTTTGTGACCAAACAAAACATCATTTTTTTATCAAAACTGCTTAATTACCACTATTAGTAACAGTATCGCTTTGACTAAGCAAGTTAAAATATATTTCGTTTAAACAGAGACAAACTTATACATATCAACAAAACATTTTATTTGCTTTTGACTTTTTGTGAAGGATTCTTCACCTCAAAATAATGTAAAGCTGTTAATTTTTACAGTATTTTAGTTTTGTTAAGATCTGAATGCCTTCTGTTAACTTTAACCAATGTTGTAAGGTTTATTTCCTCTTAGGATAATGATGCTGATCCAGTGTGTTTGTACCCAGGAAAAGAGCAAGAGCCGGTTCTTTGTATGACAAAACTTCGACAAAGAATTTTCCTCTCTTGTGGCACAAGAATAATTGCCTTAAATATTAGTAGAATTATCGAGTGGGACAAGGAAATAGAAACTGCAGAGACAAAGTAATGAACTAATTTTGACAAAGTTTTTATGCCCCCTGGCATATAGTAATTGAACCGTCCGTCCGTCTGTCCGTACGAGGTTAACCTAGAATGGCAAGTTGGATTTTTCCCAAGTTCTACCTGTACAAATGGCTTCATAATTTACACACTTACTTATCCATACAAAGTATATGATCTTGGCAAGTAAGTTACATAACTATGGCTTCCATTTGCACCAAATGTTCTTGAAAGTCAATATGGCGTCTTTGGATCTGCGCTGGAATGGATAGATTCATATTTGAGGCCGCGTAGCTGTCGAGTGAGTGTTAACTCGAATGTGTCATCAGAACGGGAACTTGACTGTAGTGTCCCCCAGGGAAGCTGTTTGGGCCCTTGGCTCTACTTGACGTACGCAGGAACTATCTTTGACATTGTACCTCCCTCCATTTCCGTGCACGGATTTGCCGACGACCACGTTGCAAATAAACGTTTTAAACCATCACCTACTGCAGAAGCAAGCGCAATTCAGGACCTCCAGACAGTGCAGTGCATATAAATGATTGGATGAACAGCAACAAGTTAAAAATGAACAATTCAAAGACAGAGTTTATTCTTTTCGGAAGTCGTCCACAGCTGAATAAGTGTAACACCAAAGAAATCAATATATGTGGTAATGTTATTGAATCACAACATTGTATACGGTATCTTGGTGCTTTTTTGGATGAGTCTCTGAATTTCAAAGATCACATTAAAAGAAAGTGTAGAACTGCTATGTTAAACTATTTCAAGATCAGGAGCATTCGAAAGTATCTGACAAAGGGAGCCGCTGAAACACTTGTTTTATCTTTAGTAATATGCCATTTAGATTATTGCAACATCATTCTATACGGCATATCTCAAAAGGAATTAGCCAAATTTCAACGTATTCAAAATATGTGTGCCAAACTGGTGTTAGGTCGTTCCAAGTATGATAGTTCTAAACAGGCATTATTCGATCTGCACTGGCTTCCGATTAAAGCGCGAATCAGTTTCATGATACTGACATACATGTATAACTGTTCGGTAGGAAACGCACCATCATATTTAATAGAGCTTTTGTCTCATCAAGTGTCAAAACGAACCTTAAGATCATCTGAATCCTCTGTTGGTTGTTATGTTGTTCCTTTTAATAAGAAGAGGACTTTTTCTGACAGAGCTTTTAGCACGATAGGACCAAAATTGTGGAATGAACTACCTATTAATATGAGAAAATGTGAATCTGTTGAAATTTTCAAAAGACAACTGAAATCATTTTACTTCCAGGACTTTTTTGCACTTTTTTAAGTGACGCTGGTGGCATTGTCTGTTCCTAATTGTTTTGTGCACTTTTGTATATTTCTATCAGTTTTTATTATTTTCATTGTACAATAATATAATAAAGTCTAGCCCATGTGTTATCATGTGCAGGGGTGCAGGGGTGTAGATTGTTACATGTTGGTGGGGATCGACCCAATCACTGTGACCGTCGCACTGCTGGGAGTATTGTGTATGGTAGCACTGGGAGTACCACATATAAGGTATACAGCTGTACAACGCCATTGAATATGTATTCTATATGTAGAAATAGGCGTTAAATCAAGTTTTCAAGTTTCAAGTTTTGCACCAAGTTATGGCCTTTTTCAGCACTTAGAAAATGAATAATGGTTAACCTAAACCGGCAAGTTGAAAATATCTTATGTTCTATCTGAACTAATGGCTTAATAATTTTCACACTTACTTATCAATACAATGTACATGATATTGCCAAGATATATAAATGTGCCATCCATTTTCCATGTAATTTCCCTTTTTATTACTTTGAAAATAGGGCCTTGTATGGTTAACATTTTACGCCAAGTTGGATTTATCAAAAAAATTCACCTAATTACTTAATTTATTTAATGATATCTTTCATATTTGGTAGGTGGATACCTTAAATGGTCCTCTATTTTTTTGTGGCGTTAGGCGTCTCAAAGTCAATGTCAAGGTCACTTGTGTAAAAAAAATAAATCTAAATATTTCTGCTCATACAGCCTTTATTTTTAAATTAATGTCTTTCATGTTTATAATAGTCATACAAAGGGAGGTCCTCTTCCTTTTCCTTTAGTAAGGGGTCATTTGGGTCAAGGTCACCAATGTCAAACATAGATTTTTTACTCTTTTACAGGTGTATTAACCTTATTCTATCGACAGATGTCTTGTATATTTTGTAGGAACATAAAAGTGAGGTATTCTCATTTGGGTGAAGGTAGAGGTCAGTTGGGTCAAGGTCACCAGTGCTAAAAATAGATTTTTACACTTTCGCTCATACAGCGTTTATTTATTGACAGATTTGTATTATATTTGGGAGGAAGATTAGTTGCATGATATTCTTTCTTTAGTCAGTTGGGTCAAGGTCACCAGTGCTAAAAATAGATTTTTTACACTTTTGCCCATACAGCCTTCTTTTTAAAAATTGTTACTGACAAGAATCTGAGCCGGGGGCATTTGTGTTTAACAAACACGTTCTTGTTTTAATATACTTTTGCTTGTATGTGTTACATTTTATATTAATTTCATTTGTTCATATAAGTTGATAGAAATGTTGATCTTTTAACTTACATGGTATTCTTCCTTTGGATGGAGTTAGGGGTTAGTTGGGTCAAGGTCAACAGTGCTAAAAATAGATTTTTACACTTTTGCTCAAAAAGCCTTTATATATTGACAGATTTATTTCATATTTGGTAGGAAAATAAGTTGCATGATATTCTTTCTTTGGATGGAGTTAGGGGTCAGTTGGGTCAAGGTCACCAGTGCTAAAAATAGATTTGTTTACACTTTTGCCCATACAGCCTTCTTTTTAAGAATTGTTACTGACAAGAATCTGAGCCGGGGGCATTTGTGTTTAACAAACACGTTCTTGTTTTAATATACTATTGCGTGTATGTGTTACTTTTTATCTTAATTTCATTTGTTCATATAAATTGATAGAAATGTTGATCTTTTAACTGCAAGACTAAGTCATAAAAAAAAACAAAAAAAACACGTATTCGTTTTTTTTATATACTGACAGTATTTGCTATAGGAAACCCTTGTATTACTTTAATCCGTTTACGTGTCGGCGTTATTTTATATGTACATTTATGTTACATTATCTTGATTAACGTAACGTCATTTTTCCGCCAACGTATGTTACGCTATAATTATTACGTCATTATTATTATTATTATCCTGATGAAGGTGTTGTTCACCGAAACGCGTCGATAAAGAAATAATAATATTTTGAAAAACTGTACGTGTTGTTGTTTAAACGTCGTTTTAAGACTTATGTCATAGAATTCCCAATATTGTCATATGCTTCCTCTTTCAATTTCTACATGTTTATATCAATGTTTATTAAACAATACGAACTTTTATATTAGGATGCTTTATGTTGATGTAAAAACAATTATTTATTTATTCCAGAGACGCATCAACACCGGCAATAAACACACTCGCGGTGATCAAAGGACATATAATATTTTCAAGAAAATCTTCATCCTGTGTAGAAATATGGGATTCAGCGAGTCAAAGAGTTGAGAAAGTGATAGCTGTGGATGAGACGTTTGAGTAAAGTCATACTTTTATAACATTTTTTCAGATTTATCTATTTTCTTTGGTGAAAAAGCATCAGGGTATTTTAGATGCAAATATTAGTATGTGTCAAGGAAAGATGAATATAACTTGCATCCAATGTGAACCCGTGTGAAACCTTATTTTTGCAATAAATATTTTCATATAACTAAAAATCATTTTAATCTCGAACAATGGTGAAATGAATTGATTATTCTTACTTAATAAAGTAAGAATTGAAGACTAAACACTTTCTGATAAAATAGCAGTCTGAAATCCGTTGAGTACAGAGTTAAAGGGATAGCGTTCATTTATTGTTTTTTATCCTTACTCGCTAATATACACTTTTCTGAATCCAACGCCCGCTGCATTTCAGGTAATATGAAAAAAACTGCGATAATAACGACTGTAACAGTACTAACTTTTGATACATGTCCTATGTCATTCGTCTATCAAATAGATACTCATGTGCCTGTTAAATTAGGGAATAATGAAAAATAAATATACAAATGCAGACATTGATCAAAGCCGATAATACTAACAGACCACTTTGTATACAAGAACTGCTTACCTTTTTTGGGCATATTTACCCAAGCTAAAGAAATTCCTTGTTAGCTATCTATCTTTAAAATCGCTTGACGGGTATGCACGATACTTTTATATTTGTCTTATTAAAATGGTATCATTTAGGTCATTTTTAAAGTGTTTTAAAAAGACTCATTCTTAATTGAATTATTATTCTTGCATCTTGATATAAATTTGAATTCGGACGTATATTGCTCTACTTTTGCAATACAAAGACTTGTAGGACTGCGTGGAATCACAGGTTTTAGTAAGCAACTAGATTAAATGTAAGACTTGTACAGTTTAGTTTAAGCATTGCAATTTTTTTAATCTTTTATCTTGATTTTATTTTCAGCATCCCTAAAACAGAAGCAAGGGTCACTGCACTTTCAGTTGATAATACGTCAATTTGGATTGGAACGCATGGTGGATATTTAGGTGTATTGGATATCATCACCTTCAGTGTTGTTGCATTAACTCACAGACATATGAGAGCAGTCAGAAGTATTGTTCATGTTAACGACAAAGGTGATATTGATTTCTTTACAGTGATCTTCCTTGATGACTCCTTACTCAATGAAATCATAAGCAATAACTCTGTGCACTGTGTATATTCTTCCACTAACTGCCAAAACGAAAAAAAATCATTTTGATAAGATGAGAAAAATAAATATCATTTGTTATTTTTTTGTAAATTCGACCACCATGGAAAAAAATCATTTTTTCGTGAGTCGTTCCTATTGTGATATTCAGGGTTGAACGACAGTATGTAGAAAAAATCAATTTATACATAAACATATTGCTCTTGTACATTTTAATACCCCGTTTTTCTCTAATTTTTCATATTCCACACTTCATGACCTAATATTTTACCTGTGAAATGTATTATGTTATGTTGAATATAAATTTATTTTGTCAGGCTCCAGCCGAAATAAAGTCGTATTCAGTGGTGGTCTAGGTTTTAGGGATGTTTCAAACTTTGCAGTTCAAAAACGTGAGTACGACACAATATTTTTTAAGTGCAATACCATAAACTAATGTTAACAGTTTTTCTATTTCTTTAAAAAAATGAGTTTTGATAATCAAGGTTTCTTTTATGGTAAATAAACATTTCACATAGTTCTTTATTCTTTAAATACCCTTATAAATTTCTGAAACAAATATTTATATCATCATAAACTGATGTCGTTTTGACTACGACAAATATTATTAATTAGATATTTTACTGCAAAGTTTTCATTGCTATTATTATTGTCATTCTACCAATGTTATAACATACATCCAGTTTATTGTTTATTTCAACAATCCCCTGTGAAGTGTAAATAAAACAACAATAAATGAGGCAATATTTTTAATTCAAATCTGGCATTAACCTCTTGACATGTATGGTGAACATCATACATACATAAAACTCTGTTATTGTCTGTTGTTGTGTTATTTCATCTAACAATGCGTTTGAGCTTTACCAAATAGCACTCAAATTATTACTTATATTTATATGATTCATTGTGTTTTGTTGACGATTCAGTCTGCAAGATGCAGCAGGTAAAGCTTAAAAAGGGGCATGACCTTTGCAGCAACAAAATTAAATTCTTTTTTAACCTGTGTGTTAATTTTAGGGTTGTTCAAAATGCCTTCTCAACAGTTTTTTCTTTTTCAAAAATTTAATTGGTTTATCTTGAACCCAGGAATTTTTTTAAACTTACAGTGAAAGAAAAAAGGTTTTAATTTTTATTTTTCACATTTTAGATTTTCAGTTTTTTGGGCTTTATTTTCAGAGGATATGTGGTTGTGTTTTAGTCTGGGATTTTCCAAATTTTCCTTTCTATTAAAAGGGTGTTTTTTTTAAATATGAGAGAAGCAGGAAGGACAAACTTTAGTAAAAACAGTTTCCCTGAGCAAAAATTTCCCGATGAAAAAAGAAATTGAAATTTTAAAACCCGGAAACCCAAAGCCCAGTGTCTTTTCTTTTTCTTTCAAAAAAAATTGAAAGGGACATTTTTTTTTTTTCAAATTTCTTAAAAATTTTTCTTTTCTCAGTATTTTTGAGATTACATATTTTAAGTTAAAAACATCCCTTTCTGAAATTACAAAAGTGAGTCGGAAAATTTTTTTTTTAAATTAATTTTTTAGCAATTTTGAAAATTGCAATAAGAACTGTTTACCAACAAAATGTTGTGTTTGAGAAATGTTAATCATTGATTAATACGATCAAAAATATCATGAAGAGTGAAATGCAGTCTACTTAATTTACACTTGCATAATGTTGAAGTCATTAAGTGACTTTGAAAAGGATTGCTTAGTACTAACATAGTACGAAGTCATCTTTGGGCGAGGTACTGTGCAAAATATGTCAGCAAATGATATTTACTTAACATACTCATTAAAATGTTATGTTTCATATGAAACTGTGCAATATTTTCACTGTATACAATTTCAAACATGTAAGTCATTAGTCTAAAATGCATACATTGGTAGCTCTGTTTATAACCATTGTATCTTTTTTATTACATTTCGTTTCATGTACATCATTATTTCAAGCAGATAGTATATAAGATAGTTGCCAGCATGTTTATATGTTTCATGTTTTCCTTTTATCTTTAAAATGTTATATTCATTATGCATGATGTGTTTTTTAATCTAAATGTTTAACTTAAAGTTTGTGTTCTAAAAAGATATAAACAGTTCACAATTACGATATGATAGTTTGGAATACAACCAATCGCCAACGATGTGTCTGCATATAAAACAGTTAATTCAGAAATAGTGTCCACCTCATGTCGTATGTTTTATCTTGATTACTTTAATGTGGAACTAAGGTAATTCGTGTGAAGTAAACCTGGAGATATAATCATCGCATGAACATCAATCAGTGCAGTGAAATACAAATTCTATTGTAATTATAAAGGCTTACGATTGTTGGTATTAATGATGAATGATGTTGTATGGTAATTAAATTTCAACTTTTACACTCCTGGTAAAGTTCGTGGTTAATAGAATTATTTAAGACTGAATGCAGCATTATATTTGATGTATTATGAAAATAAATATTGTATGATTCGATGATAACCTTGATACTTATTTAAACCAGGCTTTGTTGTTATTATTTTTATGAGCGTTTATATCCTAACTGCAGAGACTATATAATAGTATAATGATAATGAATCATTTGGGTTTCTTTTTCTTTTTTTAGTTGCCTGTTTGCATATCAATCAAGTTTTAAATACAAGTTAAAATAATGATAAGGGCATTGATTTTTAAAACATTTTTCTTCCGATATCTTATAATATATAAATCTTTATGCTTGAATAACTCAATGCTGTTAACAATGAAATAATTATGCCGCACTAGAATCCTGTCCTTTTCACAAAATCCTAATACCGATATATGTTTATAACACTTGTTTTTATGTGAATAAACATTATACTACTTGTGTTGTGATCTTTAATAGTTTTTGTTCCACTTAATAGCATTATGAATAGGAAATTATCCCTTTTTATCGTCTTATAAATGAAAATTGTTACATAACCTTTTCGAAAATATTATCATTTGTGTAACATTATTTCTTTTTATCATTTCAATTTTTCTTGCCTTTTTGTTATTTGTGATCTAGTTTTTATTTGAATTTTGACATGTTGATAAGTTTTCTATAGAAATAAATGAAATTTCAAGGATACAATACTCTTACCGTTGCCTTTCAAACTATTTTTGATTCAGACAACACAAGTATGAAAGAAATACTTTTTTGACAATAGAAATGAGTTCTATAAAGTATATTCTTCACAACAAGCTTGATTGTCGTATAAAGTCCACTGTAATGGGTATTTCAAGTTTGCATTATAGAAACGGAAGTTTGTCTTATCGAAGATTTACAATTACAATGCTATAATTTGCGGAGTCTTAAAAAGTCAAACAATACCTTTATTACAAGTTTAGCTGCATAAATATACATCGGTAATCTCCCTGTGTTACCAGGAATTGCCTCAACACAACAATAAGTTTTTGCTTATACAATTTTTACGAACATAAATCTTTACGTTTTCAATCCATTTTTAATGTTCTATACCCCATAATTCTGCACCATAGAATAAAACGAAACAAAAATTTAGAATCAAAATTATTAGAAGTAAGATTTTCAGCTACAGTTTTACTATTTAATGAATCTAAGAGCTGTACACGCATCTGTGTACCCTTAATATCTTCAGACATGATGTTTGAAGACAAACAAGTCGTGAACTTTACTCCAAAACATGTGAAACCATTATTGTTTCATTTACTATTTCATAGGGAATATTATTAAAATCAAATAGACAAAATTGAACTATTCGCCTGGAATGCAATACAACTTCCCTCTTTTAAAACGTTTAAACAAAATTACTTTTAAACCACCTATACGTAGTTATGCCTGTTATGGTAGGTGGATTACATAAAAAACAAACATGTTAGCCAAATTGATTGTGACATAAAATAAAAATAAAACAAGAGGGCCATGATGGCCCTGAGTCGCTCACCAGAAGCAACTGCTTTTCAGTGTTGGAATGTCAATATATTCTAATATTAAATTTGAGCATAGAATATGATTAAACAATAATTTGAAGAAATACCATGACCTGGGGTATTTAAGCTTTAGCTTAAACAGGGATAATCAAAATAATATGAGCAAACTTTATAAAAGACTACCTAAGAATGCTACAAAGTTTGGTGATCATCTTTCAATTATTTCAGTAGGAAATGATGTTCGAAGGTTTTTTCTATTTTTAGCTTTAGTGGCCCCTAAAAGGGGCTAATCAAATAAATATAAGCAAATTTGATAAAAGAGTACCCAAGAATGCTACAGACAAAGTTTGGTGATCACCCATCCATTAGTTCTGTAGAAGAAGATGTTAAAGGTTTTTCTATTTTTAGCTTTAGCGGCCCCTAAAAGGGGTCAATCAAATTAACATGAGCAAACTTGTTAAAAGACTACCCAACAATGCTTCAGACAAAGTTAAATGATCATCCATCTATTAGCATTGTAGAAATAGACATTTAAAGGTATTTCTATTTCTAGCTTAAGCGGCCCCTAAAAGGGGCTAATCAAAATAATATGAGCAACTTTCATAAAAGACTACCCAACAATTCTTCAGACAAAGTTTGGTGATCATCCATCCATGGCATTAGTTCTCCAGAAATAGACATTCAAAAGGTATTTCTTTTTTAGCTTGAGCGGCCCCTAAAAAGGGCTTATCAAATTCATATGAGCAAACTTGATGAAAGACTACCCAATAATACTGCAGACAAAGTTTGGTGATCATCCATCAATTAGTTCTCTAGAAATCGACATTTACTGATAGTTCTATTCTTAGCTATAGAGACCCCTAAAAGGGGCTAAGCAAATTAATATGAACAAACTTGATAAAAGACTACCCAAGAATGCTACAGAAAAAGTTTGGTGATCTTCCATCAATTAGTTCTTTAGAAATAGACATTTAAAGGTATTTCTATTTTTAGCTTTTGCGGCCCCTTAAAGGGGCCAATCAAATTAATATGAGCAAACTTGATACAACACTACCAGAGCATGCTACCGACTAAGTTTGGTAGTCATCCATCAATTAGTTCTGAAGGAAAATATGTTTAAAGGTTTTTCTTTTTTTAGCCCTAGAGACCCCTAAAAGGGGCCAATCAAAATAATATTAGCAAACTTGATAAAAGACTACCTAAGAATGCTACAGACAAAGTTTGGTGATCATCCATCAATTAGTTCTGTAGAAATAGACATTTAACAGTATTTCTATTTTTCGCTTAAGCGGCCCCCTAAAAGGGGCCAATCAAATTAATATGAGCAAACTTGATAAAACACTACCCGAGCATGCTACCGACTAAGTTTGGTGATCATCCATCCATTAGTTCTGTAGAAGAAGATGTTTAAAGGTTTTTCTATTTTTAGCCCAAGAGACCCCTAAAAGGGGCCAATTAAATTAATATGAGCAAACTTGATAAAACTCTACCCAAGAATGCTACAGACAAAGTTTGGTGATCATCAATCAATTAGTTCTCTAGAAATCATCAATCAATTAGTTCTCTAGAAATAGACATTTAAAGGTATTTCTATTTTTAGCTTTTGCGGCACCTTAAAGGGGCCAATCAAATTAATATGAGCAAACTTGATAAAACACTACCCAAGAATGCTACAGACAAAGTTTGGTGATCATCCATCAATTAGTTCTGTAGAAGAAGATGTTTAAAGGTATTTCTATTTTTATCCCTAGAGACCCCTAAAAGGGGCCAATCAAAATAATATGAGCAAACTTGATAAAAGACTACCCAAGAATGCTACAGACAAAGTTTGGTGATCATCCATCAATTAGTTCTGTAGAAGAAGATGTTTAAAGGTTTTTCTATTTTTAGCTCTGCTGACCCCTAAAAGGGGCCAATTTGAATGACATGAGCAAATTCAAGTGTGACTGTCACAAGGATGCTTCAGACCAAATTTGAAGTAAATCTGCCAAGTAGTTTCAGAGAAGAAGACGATTGTTGACGCATGACGACGGACGACGGAGCATCCCCCTTTGATACTAATAGCTCACTTGAGCCTTCGGCTCTGGTGAGCTAAAAATCACTATATTTCATTTACAAATTTACGAATCGGGAAATACCTCGGCATTACGATAACGTCTACTGATCTGTTAGAGGTAAAACTTCCGGTTCCGAAATGAGAAAGATTAACACATTTTAATGAAGAAAATTTATATTTCAAGTTGATCATCATCGGTGTTACATTAGTTTTGCGATCTCAAGAATACGGCTAAGTGTGCCATTGAAGTTTCATTGTTTTGCGTGAAATAACAGGTTTTGCTTTCGCGTTCATATTTTTGCAAAACAACTAATCCAAGAAACAAGAAAATTTATGTTACGTCGGATATATTTAAACAGAAAACACTGGCTCATGAGCTATTTTCCGACAAACATGTAAATGTATTAACAAAAGTAAAGAAGCTAAAAATTATGAACACTAGCATATTTTAGTACATTAAAGCAGCTAAAAGTTATAAGCATAGACACATCTACGGTAAGTACATGGATTTAAGACATTATCACCATAGCAAGTTTAAAAATAACAAAAATTACAAGAAAGATAATACAAAGAAAAGGATACAAAAGAAATGGATTAAGTATTTAAAATAAAATCTACAAAAAAAAATACAAGAAAGATAATAGAAAAAAGTAAAATAAACATGTATGTACATTCCTGTAAAAGAATTATAATAGCTAAAAATAGACATGAATATAAAAACAAGGAAATGTCATAGGACTATCACATAATGCAAATAAAAAGTAACACTAAGCATATTATAGGCATAATGTTGCAACATCTAGAAGCACATGTTAAACACATACAAGCAAATGTTAAACACCCATGTGTTTAACAAAAGGCTACAAACGACACATTGACCACTTACATTTTGGGCCTGTCCACGTGCCAAATTCATCGAAGTTTTCTGCTCTTCTGATGTCACTATGGAGGCTGTTCCACACCCGGGCAGCCTCAAAACGGAAGAAGTTCTGTCCATACCTGGTGGTTCGTACTGTGGGCACTTCTAGTGTATGATCACACCTGCAATTGTAAAGAAAGGTCTTTCTGTATTTATCTATTTTATGATCACATCCGTGTTATTTGTGCCGTGTGGCGGCTGTAAAAAGTCTCCCCGTACATTTAATCAATGATGTTATATTTTCGATCCTTGAAGATCGTTCAGCACGACACTATTGTTGTGCTTGTGTTATTTTTAGTTTCAACTTTTCGGCATTTTCTAGTCGGGTGGTTCCAATAGTCCTACTTGAATAATGTTAAATCACCCTTAGGATATGTTGCCTGCTTTTTAAATTTGTCTTTTGACGTCTTATCTGTGATACGCAGGCTTCATAACCTCTGATCCCCTTTCAAAATTCCATTTTATTTAGTTCCGCCCATTGTTTTCTCGTTTAGGGCACACGCTTTTTTATTACTTGGGGACCATACGCCGCTTTTCATGGAATGGCACGGAAGTGTCACATTGAAGGTTCCATGATAACCGCCGTATGAACACATCTGCGGATGTTTCTAAATTCAAAATTTTACTACTTCATGTTTAAATGTTGAATTCTGCTTAAGCCGGTGCTAGGGGGCGTGGACGGTTACTTGCACTTTCCAGTACCGTCCATGAACAGGCTCAATCAAACCGAGCCTGCAACATTTTACAATTTTGCCGTGTTGAGCTTTCTTTAGGGATTCTGTTTATCACTATTTTATTTGACTTGATAAAAGATTTAAATACGATAAGCCTTATAGATACAGAGAGGATTGCAGGACATTTAACTGTTTTGCAGCTTTTCAGCAAATGGCTGATACAAGGGCATCAAAATTTAACTGAAATATGATGAACAAGATCAACAAGAAAAGGCGGCGTTCAATGAACGCAATATCTGCTCCCAGTAATTTGACCTGTACACACATGGGATAGTGCTAGCGCTTATATCAAATGACTTAATTTCAGAATGTGACTTGATTTCTGTTCCTTCGGGATCATTGATGCCAGCACTATAAAGTGTTGAGATTTGAGTACCGCTCAAGCTGGTGCTAGGGGGCGTGAGAGATGTTGCACTTATTTATTATCCCTCATGTACAGACTCAATCAAACCGAGTCTTCAATTTTCATGTAATTTTGTTGTGATTGATGCTTCCGAGGAATTACTTAGTTTCCAGATTTTTTTTTACTTTACAACAGCAGGTATCAAGTGCCGTGTGGCAGCTGGAAAAAGTTGCCCCGTTGCCCAGTGTTATATTTTTCTGGTCCTTCGGGATCATTGATGCCAGGACTATTAAGTGTTGAGAATTGAGTACCGCTCAAGCTGGTGCTAGGAGGCGTTAGGGATGTTGCACTTATTCATTACCCCTCATGTACAGACTCAATCAAATATGATAAACAAGATCAACAAGGAAAGGCGGCGTTCAATGAACGCAACCCCCATATAACCCAGCAACAAGAACCAGTGGCAAGGAGCCCAGGTGGACCCCAAACAAATAAATATAAACCATTAGTCTATGAAGGCTGGACATGGAGGGGGACACCAACACAGAACGCCGAACAATCCCCAACCGAGTCTGCAATTTTTAATTATTTTTCTAACAGAACCTTAGATGTGTCCAGTGTGACCACTTGTCACATTTGCCCAAGGAAAACAATAGAAATAAATGTTTACTTAGCTCCAATCTGTTTCATACACAGCATTTCTCGTCATCAACCACATCCCCAGATGTTGCATCATCCGAGTTGTTGTAGATGGTTGAAGGGGCTACTTGAAGGTCACTTATGTGACTGTGTTGCAGAATGAATAGATGCCTTTCTTATTAAATGCAGATATGAGATTTTCAGATGATACTGCTTTCAAATAAGGTTTGGAAGCAAACATGGTGTGTAGGGGGCTGCGTCCTTTGAACGTTGAACGCCGCCTTTCCTTGTTGATCTTGTTTATCATATTTGCCTTGTTGATCTTTATTCTTGTATTGGATGCTATATCATATTTTGTAATATTGATTTATGGACTGGACTTCATAATTTCTGACACACCTGAGAATGCATTTTCTTGAATGGACCAAATATGACGGCATCTAAACATCTGGAAACAAAGTGATGTAAAATATTATAAACAAGATCAACAAGGAAATAGAGAAAATAAGAATCTCTAATGAAAGCCCTACACGTCAAAATTGAAAATGTTGCAGGCTTGGTTTGATTGAGCCTGTTCATGGACGGTATTGTCAGGTGCAAACTTCCGTCCACGCCCCCTTCAATAAAGTCAAGTGACTGAAATGAGGTGGTAAAACAAACATGATAATGTTGTGCTGCTTTGTCCATTCTGTCAGTGTCAGGGAGACGGCTGACCTTTGTGTGTGTCAGGGCAGCGTCCTGTGAACGTTGCCTTTGCCTTATCGATCTTTGTTCGCTGTCATGGAATGGCACTACTGTGTCTCATTGCAAGTGACACAGTAGTGCCGGTGCTAGGGGGTGTGGACGGTAACCTGCAATTTCCAGTACCGTCCATGAACAGGCTCAATTAAACCGAGTCTGCAACATTTTCATTTTTTTTCGTATTGGGCTTTCTTTAGGAATTCTGTATTTCTCTATTTCAATGATAACCGCCGTATAAACACATCTGCGGATGTTTCTAAATTCAAAATATCACAATTTTTGTGTTTAAATGTTGAATTCTGCTTAAAATAGAGTGAAATAAGAATCCCTAAAGAAGCCGGTACTAGGGGCGTGAACGGTAACTTGCAATTTCCAGTACCGTCCACGAACAGGTTCAATCAAACCGAACATGCAACATTTTAAATTTTGTCGTGTTGGGCTTTCTTAAGAGATTCTGAATTTTCTTAAGAGATTCTGGTTTTCTCTATTTTATTCTTATCTTTTAAGGAAGTGCTGAGTGAGAAAACCATGAAGTGAGACCAGTGTCTTGGACATTTCTCTAGGCGAATCTTGAAAAATATAGGAGGAATACTCTGGCCTGCTGCATTACCATATGCTATAACTGTCACTGTTGATGATCTGGTTGATGAGTGGTGAATGTTCACTGTTTACAAGTCTCATCGATGTTCACTGTGATAGCATTCGAGGGTCTCCCTAGTTGCTGACTTTAGGGATTCCTAATTTCTCTATTTTGGCCCTTGCACAACTTTATTACAAATTTGTAGCCTTGGCTGTTTAAGGTCTAGCCATCGTTTGGTAAAATCATAGAGCCAGTTATCGCTCAACGCCTTTTCAGCCTTTACTGACCTGTCTAAAATATTAGCAGAGTCCTTTGCCCTATACTGGACTGATGTTTTGCTGTAACCAAATCCAATATCGGCCATGCAGGCTGTAAGATCATAGAGCTTCTGCTCCTCTTCATTGGTAAAGTGTGCGCGTGTTTAGGCTTTACAATTCAACAATTACACAACGTATAACGCTACGAATGGCAATACTAAATCCTGCTAAAAAAACCGCGAAGTAACCGATTCGTTGAAACTCCCTACCATGGCGGTGAATCCAAAGCAAACATTTGGAAACCTTTGCACCCACCGATTTATGTCGCCTACAGTTCCGGTAAAACAATGCAAGTGTATCTTCTGGTCTCTGGATACCACTCCTGCACACTGATACATCAGAGATGCCATCAGTTCTGATGTTTCCCTGGCTACCTTTGCTCGGCAATGAAGCACCTGTACATGACGCGGCTCCAGGAACTGCAACACCTGGTACAGCACATCATGCTGTGTCGCTCATTCCTCTGCCGGAACTGTATGATCCAACCCGACTTCTCCAAAGGCACATACCTCAGACAGACCTACAAGGCCCTGGAATCCAGATATTACTCTGGAACTAACATGTGCAGCATGCTTTGAATGTAGCCCGATCAATGTCTCCACACCCTGCGTCCGTAGGCTGGATATTTCGTCCACACTTGGATAGTTTACCGGGTCGCAAAAGTTGGCCACGGCTCCTCCAATGCAGACACGATCCTCAACAGCATACGGGGTCAGTCTGCTTAACACCTTGCTAAAATCATACTCGGGCTCACCTAGCTTCAGACATAACCTATCCAAGTGGAAATGGCTATCCACTGCCCCCTCACGTACAAAATAGATAAATACAGAATCCCTAAAGAAAGCCCAACACGACAAAATTGAAATTGTTGCAGGCTCGGTTTAGTTTCTCCTAGGAGAATTAACAGGCCTACTTTTTCCACTAGAATTGGCTTCCACAACAATCCCTGGCGCCTGGGTACCTGTATAACGGGCTTCAACCTCCATGCTTTCCGCACTTATGGCTTCTTTTCCAGGAATCGCCGCTTCTTCCGACCGTGCAGGACACACAGCCATCAATTCTTTGGCTTTGGGGACATCAGACTGATTGGAGGAAAGTTTAACTATCCTTTCACCTGTAAGACAGATGGTCTAGTCTGAAGCTACCAAAGGTTCTTCTCCGACCTCGTCCACTACCAGCATTTCGAGTAGATCTTCGTCATCCTGTAAAACAGGATGTTGCCCTTCTTCCTGTACAACAGGATCTTCAGGAGCAAGACGCTGATCCAGTTTATGGCCTCGGGTTGGATCACTGAATCTCCGCTGAAGCTCATTTGTACTCCTGACGAGACATCCTTCTCAGGACTTTGTAGTAGCAGAGCCCAGTGGAAAAACGAGCACTGGCGAGTTGATAGGGCTGAGAGTCAAACCTACTGGGCGCAACAATTCCCAATCTTTCTGACACCTTCTTCACAACATCGCACACCCAGGTCCCACACTGTTTATCTTCGTTTCCCTTCTGTAACCTTTCTCTCACCATAAAACTCCAATAAACAGCCTGGTGCGGCGTCTTTCCTTCCCGATTTGCCCAAGCAGCCAGATATCTTACAAACTCAGCCCTACGTTTGTCAACCTCTCTACCAGTACTGTCCCTATCCACCCCTGTGGGAAAGTGGTAAACAAACGTGTGTGCTAAAGGGTAACTGAAGTCCCCCGTACACCAAGACAAAGGGCAGTTACTCCTTGTTCGCTCAGTATATACCCTCTTCTTCTTCTTTCAAGGGAACTTTGGATGGCCCGATCTTGGGGTGTCTCTGTGCATCAGGGACTTCAGTCTGTTCAGCCACTCTCCTAAGCTGGCGAACATACTCACACTCAGGACCGCTACCAGCGGGTACCTGAGGAGCTTGTCTCACTGTTCTCTGGGTGGGAACTGAAACACTCTCTGTTGATGTTCTCCTCCCCTTTCGTGGTGACCTTCTAATGACCCTTTCCCTAGACTGAGTTGGCCCTGTACTGCAATCTCCAGAACCCGCTAGAAACGGGTTTCTGGCAGTTCCTTTGGAGGCTGTTGACAGGTAACAACTACTTCCTTTTTGTTGTAGCAATCTGGTGCAGGGCCGCTTACAGCCTGTGCTCCTTCTCATCCAATGTCAACTCATCTTCGGTAGTCCAAAACTCGGGCATGCTGGTCTCCGAATTTGATTGCTGTTCGATCTTTAATTAACTTCTCATGCGCATTCTCCGGCATCCCCCTGCAGCAGCATCCCCCACCCTTCCTCTCCTGAGGGGTTCTTTTAGACGGAGTCTGTCGTGCCAGTGCTTGGAAGAGCACATGCCTCGGTACTGCGTTGGAAAACTATTCCGACTGATTCTCAGAGATCCACTCTGAAGAAGCAAACTGCGACACCTCTGCCTCTTTTGCTGCCTTCTTTAGCCACGTCGTATAACGACGATTCCTGGCTAACATCGCCTGACCAAGCAAACTCTTTGTTGGTCCTCGGCAAGCCTTCCCGCTTAACATTAATATCCTCACTACCTTTTCCTCTGCATTCATCTGTCGCCCTTTCCTCGTGAATTCTTCCACCTTCTCTACGAAACTCATCTTCTGAAAAAAAATCAAGTAAAGTGGTGTAAGTGTCGGAACTTAAGCTATCTACTCAGGACTGTACTACCTTTGGTTGGACCCCGTCACATCGAAACCCAGCACAGGCCGTACAACGGGCAACATGCAGCAGCACACATAACAGATGTAACTGATTGGTCCTCTCATCCAGCCACACAAAGAAATGATCCTGCCCTGCCTGCCCAGCCTGAACCATGTTCCAAACGCAACGCCTCCATCCAAACTGGTCTTATTGTGTACCATCTGACTGGGGCTTCCCCTTACATGTTCCGCACTTGTACTAAACAATATCTGAGGCCTCAGTAGGTGTGATGTTTACACAGGACCCATGATACCACTCCTCACAAAAGTCGCACATATCAAGAACCTCCCTTGCCAAGGCTTCCTACAGGTAGAGTAGAGTTCTGTACAATTACCTCGTCAGAGCCATCTTTCCATTTTTGCAACCATACTGGCAATTTCCTGTCTCGACAAGGTTTCAAACGGTCATGATTAGTCACAAACACAGCGTTCTTGACCTTTTCTCTGTAGATGAATGCAGAGATAACACCAGGTTCCTTCCACAGAGGAGCTAGTTTTTAGCTCACCTGTCACAAAGTGACAGGGTGAGCTTTTGTGATCGCTTTTCGTCCGGCGTCCGTCCGTCCGTAAATTTAATTCCATGCAGAACTCTGGTTGCCATGGCAACCGAAAGAAAAATCTTTAAATATCTTCTTTTAAACAACCCTAAGAGCTAGAGCTTAGATATTTGGCATGAAACATCTTCTAGTGAGTGTCTACCAAGTTTGTTCAAATAGAAGTCCTGGGGTCAAAATTGGCCCTGCCCCAGGGGGTCATTGATTTTCCCTATATGCATATAGTAAAAACTTAAAAAATCTTCTTTTAAAGAACCCAAAGAGCTAGAGCTAAGATATTAAGCATGAAACATTTTCTAGTAAGTGTCTACCAAGTCTGTTCAAATAAAAGCCCTGGGGTCAAAATTGGGCCAGCCCCGGGGGGTCATTGATTTTCCCAATATGCATATAGTAAAAACTTAAAAAATCTTCTTTTAAAGAACAATAAGATGTAGAGGGTAGATATTTGGCATGAAATGTCTTCTAGTGAATGTCTACCAAGTTTGTTCAAATAAAAGCCCTGGGGTCAAAATTGACCCCCCAGGGGGGTCATAGATTTTCCCTATATGCATATAGTAAAAACTTAAAAAATTCTTCTTTTAAAGAACCCAGTATAGTAAAAACTTTAAAAACTTCTTTTAAAAAAACCCAATGAAGCTAGAACTATGATGTTTTAGCATGAAACATCTTTTTATTGGGGGGTTACCAAATCTGTTCAAATAAATAAAACCCCTTTGGGTTAAAAAATTTGGGGGGGGGGGGTATATACTTTTGACGACCTCAGGCCCTCCCTGGGCCCCCTTGTTTTTCCCTTTACCCTTTACCGTCGCAGTATTCCAAAAAAAATAAAACCCGGTCAAACCCTTAAAACATAAAAAATTAAAACTAAATCCTTAAATGTAAAACTTTCGTTTTCATTCTTTTTAGAGAAAGGGGTTCAGAAAAATGCCTTTGCTGTTTGTGGCCCTTTCCCAAACTCCTCCCGAAACTTTCCTTTTACATTAAACCCCCCCGTTTCACACATTCCAAACCCCTTTTTTGAAATGGCCCCATCTTAAATGTGCTCATTTTTCCTCTGGTGTCTTAGGAAGGGGGGCCCATAAAAAACTATATAAAACCCCCTTCTTGGGGCTCCCGCTTTGAAAAATCCGTCAAAGGCATTTTCCCCTATCGCTTTACTCTTCTTATTTTGGGCTTTCCCCACATTGCAAAAGGGGCTTTTCAAATTTCCTTTCCCTCTGATTTAACCCGGTTTCCCCAAAAGAACTTTTCTTTTTTTTAGCCCTTTGTTTTTGGTTTCCTTTATGGGCCCCAGATGGTAAAAAATGATTTTTAAAATTTATGGTTGCTCTCTCAGACTTGATTTGGGGCCCTCAGGTTTTTTGTCCCATCACCTTCGACATAAAACACACCTTTAAGGTTTTTGGTTTTGCCAATATGCTTTCACCGCTGGGCTAGGGTAAAAAATATCTCTTTTTTTATTTTGGGGTCCTCTTTTTTCTTTAAAAAATTTTCCCGATTACTCCCCATCACCTCCTCTAG